TCCTACAGTCCTTTGGATTGCTTTTTATTTTTATTTTTATGCTGGTACCAGGGCTTGAATTCGGGCCTTACACTGCACTCAGCTTATTTTCCACTCAGAGCTATAACTTCATTACTTGAGCCACATCTGTCATGGATTGCTTTTATTCTTTAGGGACATTTAAATGAAAGAAGGGGATTTTTTTTTTTGCCAGTCCTGGGGCTTGGACTCAGGGCCTTAGCACTGTCCCTAATGCTTCTTTTTGCTCAAGACTAGCATTCTACCACTTGAGCTACAATGCCACTTCCTGCTTTTTCTGTTTATGTAGTGCTGAGAAATCGAACCCAGGGCTTTGTGCATTCTAGGCAAACACTCTACTGCTAAGCCACATTCCCTGCCCAAGAAGGGAAAAATTTTTTTTTTTTTGTCAGTCATGGGGCTTGAAATCTAGATGTGGGTTAAGTCCCTCAGTTCTTCAGCTCAAGGCTAGCACTCTACCCCTTGAGCCATAGCACCACTTCTGGTTTTCTGGTGGTTTATTGGAGATAAGAGACTCATGGACTTTGTTGCCCAGGCTGGCTTTGAACCATGATCCTCAGATCATGGTTCTCCTCCTGAGTAACTAGGATTACAGGTGTGAGCCACCGGCACCCGGCAAGAAGGGGATTTTTAGGTAGCTGTGACTATACTAAAAACGGGATGTACCAGCAAAGTTGAGCAAGAGATAATAATATGTACCTGGTTTAGCTATCTTGCTTTTTAAAATTATTCTTACATGTGTGTTTTGTGTAGCAGTGCCAGGACATAGGTAAAAATTTCTGTTAGAGGCTGGGAAGGTGGCTTAGTGGTAGAGCGCTAGCCTTGAGCTGAAGAGCTGAGGGACAGCACCCAGGCCCACAGTTCAGGCCCCAGGACTGACAAAAAAAAAAAAATTCTGTTACATACAAGCTGGCAAACACATGAGCTTTTGTGCAAAAGAACCAGTTGAGAAGTAGTGAAAATAAAGCTGACAAGAATTGGAAGGTGAAGCGAAGACTCAATTTTATTACACTGTTTAAAAAGATGCTCACAAGACAGACATTAGAGTGTGGTTTCAGTGCTCCTGTAAAGGTAGCAACAATACCAAGGTGCACTTACCTTCCCACAGGGCTCTGACTGCGTTATTTCAGTTCATTCCTGAGAGCCAAGGTATGTGTAGCAGGAGTGGGGGTACGGGGGAGGGAGGAGAAGGAGAGGCAGAGGCCAGTTCTTTTTCTTTTTTTTGTCGGTCATGGGGCTTGAATTCTGGGCCTGGGCACTGTTCCTCAGCTCTTCAGCTCAAGGTGACTGCTCTACCACTTGAGCCACAGCGCCACTTCCAGTTTTCTAGTGGTTTATTGGAGATAAGAGTCTCATGGAATTTCCTGCCCGGGCTGGCTTTGAACTGCGATCCTCAGATCTCAGCCTCCTGAGTAGCTAGGATTACGGGCATGAGCCACCGGTGCCTGGCATCTTTCATAGATTATTTCTCCCCCCTCCTCTTTTTTTTTGTTTGACCTTGGCATTGAGCTTGCTAGGTAAGCATTCACTCTACTGTTGAGCTACATCTCCAGCCCTACTTTTCAATAGTCATTTTTGAGATAAGGTTTTATTTCCTGCTTTGGTGTGTACCTGGGCTGAGATTGCCTGTTTAAGGTTTCCCTTTGTTTCTGGGATCCATCTGAATCCATCTCACCTCTGAGATAGAGTCTAGTGGACTCTTTTTTAAATTTTATTTTTATTTTTTGGGTCCGGTCGTGGGGCCTGAACTCTGGGCCTGGGCTCTTTCCCTCAGCTCTTCAGCTCAAGGCTAGCGCTCTACCAATTGAGCCACAGCACCACTTCCAGCTTTTTTTTTTCTTTTTGCTTATGTGGTGCTGAGGAATCAAACCCAGGGCCTCATGCATGCAAGGCAAGTACTCTACCACTGAGCCACCTTCCCAGCCCTAAATTTTATTTTTTTATCTAGGCTGTCCTGGGGTTGTGATCCTCCTGGGGTTGTGATCCTTCTGATCTCAGCCTCCCACACAGCTTAGGATAAACATCTACCACTTTGTTTTATATGGGTTGAAAAGGGGTCCTGACAGACCCCTTGACAAAGGTGTTCTTGAACCATGAGCCTGTGGTTTTTAGTCTAGGATTATGTGCATGAACCAACAGTGCCCAGCCTCATAGATTCAATAAAAATTGAGAAAGCAAGTGAAACAGGCAGGCATTTAACTTCAAACTGTGAGATCTGAAAACTTGAAAGTACAGTCTGTACAGGTTTGAATATGAAATTCATTGAGGAGAAAAAGGAATTTCATTCTGATGAAGTGGATTTATTTTATAACTTACTATGCACATAAGGGCCATACTTCCCTCCCCCCTTTTGAGACTGTGAAGTTTTCCCACTTGAGATGTAGCTCAATCGTAGAGTGCTTGCTTAGCACACCAAAGGCCGTGGATTCCATCCTTAGCACCCCAAGAAAGACTTTCAAGTTTTCCTTCTGCATTGTTTATTCGACCACAGGTTGACCATAGACTGTTGTACTTTTGTTTCCTATTTCCAGTCATCCCTTCCCCGGGAACCAGGGTCTTTTATGCATGATAGACAAGTACCTCACCACTTAACCTACACTCCCAGCCCTTTGCTATTTTTTCCTTTTAAAAATTATACTACTAGAATTTTGGTGGGGAGAGAGGGAGATGGTAGGGTCTTGCCAGACATCTTAGGTTGGCCTCAAATTTGCCTTCTTCCTATCTCAGCTTTCCCAGTGCTGGAATTATAGGGGTATACACCAGACATGGCTAATTTGTAGAAATGTTTAAGGAAGTCACATGGTGAAAATAATTGTTGGTTCTTAGGGGTCTGTGTGTAAAATTTTATTGTGAAACATTGCTTCTCATTTCAAAATAACAAAGATTTCTTATCTACATCTCATGGTTCATTCATTTGATAAAGCAAAGTGGGTTTTTTAGATGTATTCTTGAATCTTATTCTAATATGAAACAATAGCACTTTTGTTTAATGTGTCTTAGAGGCATTGGTTCTAACTTGTGGAAAATACACAAAGTTAATGCTAAGTAATTTTTATATTTCTTATATTTAGAACATAACCTACTCTAAACCCACTGAATGGCATTTAACTTTTATCTTTTTAAAAAAAATTTTTTTTGGTCGGTCGTGGGGCTTGAACTCGGCTTGAGCACTGTCCCTGTGCTCTTCAGCTCAAGGCGAGTGCTCTACTGCTTGAGCCACAGCGCCACTTCTGGTTTTCTAGTGGTTTATTGGAGATAGGAGTTTCACAGAGTTTCCTGCCCAGGCTTTGAACGGAGATCCTCATATCTCAGCCTCCTGAGTAGCTAGGATTACAGGTGTGAGCCAACGGTGCCTGGCTTAATTTTTTTTTTTTTTTGGGTCCGGTTGTGGGGCCTGAACTCTCTGGGCCTGGGCGCTGTCCCTCAGCTCTTCAGCTCAAGGCTAGCGCTCTACCTCTTGAGCCACAGCACCACTTCCGGCTTTTTTCTTTTTGCTTATGTGGTGCTGAAGAATCAAACCCAGGGCCTTGAGCATGCAAGGCAAGCGCTCTACCACTGAGCCACCTTCCCAGCCCCGCCTGGCTTAATTTTTGTCTTTTGAGTTAGGATCTTGCTATAAATCCAGAATTGACTTGGAACTCCTTATTTTCCTGCTGAAGGAGGAGAATAAGTACTTCTGAGTCTAGGGATTATAGAAGTATAGTGCCATACTATGCCTGAATAGCAATTAAACTAATTGGGGATCTGTACTATCTGAAGTCAATTTAAGTGACTGTATTTATATGTTATTGGTAATTTTGGAACTACCATATTTTATGGCTGGTAATGATCAGAACTAAAATTAAAAGTCATCATCTGGGCACAATGGCTTACATCTGTAATCCTAAACTACTCAGGAGGCTGAGATCTAAGAATCACATTTCAAAGCCAGACAGGGCAGGAAAGTCTGTGAGATTTACCTCCAATTACAAAAGAAACTGGAAGTGGAGCCATAGCTCCACTTGAGCAACAAAGCAAACCTGAGGAACAAAGCTCAGGGACAGAGCCTAGGCCCTAAGTTCAAGCCCCTGGACTGGCACACATACACGAAAGTAGAAGTCACTAAGAGTGGTATACTTTCCCCTAAGTTAAAAGGAGAATCACATTTGTAAGTATTTAGACACTTACATTATTATTATTGATAGTTGAACTTTTGAAGGGCAATGAAAATGTTGCATATCATATCAGTAGTTAACCTATGACACTGTTAATACATTAAATATGGCTATACATTTTATAAAAATAGTATATATTTCAAATTAAAGTACTGATGCACTACTGTTCTATACATTGGGTATTTTGAGATAATATAATTGGCCAAAGTGCAACTATCTGGATCACTTTTTTCCCCCTCTTATTCTGGGTACAGGGGTTTGAACTCAGGGTTTTGTGCTTATCAGCTTTCTTGGTACCTACCACTTGAGCCATAATTCCAGTTCCCTGAATCACTTCTTTTCTATTAAAAAGAAGAGCAGTGCCACTTAAAATTTATCTTACAAGGTTTTATCCTTTCAATAATGTGTTAACACAGATTTTTTTTTTGCCAGTCCTGGGGCTTGTCCCTGAGCTTCTTTCACTCACGGGCTGGTTTTGAACTGCTATCCTCCAATTTTAGCCACTTGGGTAGATTACAGGTGTGAGCCACCAGTGCCCACTTTGCACTGGCTGTTTTTGAAATCAGGTCTTGCTTTTGCCTGGCTCCACTATGGTTCATAATCTGCCTATTTTAGACTTACCTTTGCATCTGGGACAACAGTGCATAGTACTTAACCTAGCTTTTTTTTCATGGAGACTTTAAAGAAATCTTTGCCTGGACTGGTCTCCAACTTCACTCCTCAGTCACCAAGTAACTAGCATTCTACCATAAGCTACTGTGTGTTGTTTTCAGAACAGGTAATGGAGCTTTTGGAACTTATACTAACATTATTATTTTTAATGAACAGGTTTCAACACTAAACTTGCACAATGTCTTTGAAACCAAGAGTGGTAGATTTCGATGAAACATGGAACAAGCTCCTAACTACAATCAAAGCCGTTGTCATGTTGGAGTATGTTGAAAGAGCAACATGGAACGACCGCTTCTCGTATCCTTTTGGGGCAGATATTAGCTTGATAAGCATGCTAAACCTGAGAAATTTGTTAAGAAGTGAAAACAGTTGTAAGCTTATTCAAGTTGGAGAACGTCCAGTGAAACTATTTTCAAATATATTATGATTTGCATTTCCAATTTAATCACTCTTTGTGGCATTTTGTATTTTATTCAACAGAGACTTGTTCAGTACTTTGATCTGTCAAGCACTATTTTAGGTTTGGGGGAATATAATTGTGCAAAAAATCACCTTCCTTTTTATATTATAAAAGGGAAAATAATTATGGTGCTTCTGATAACAGGCAGTGATAAATTTTGTGAAATAAAAATGCAGATTAAAGAGAAGATTTGGAGTTGTACTTGTGTTCATATGGCCCCTGTTAGATAAGGTGGCCAAATAAAGTTTCCCTGTGGATAGCAAAAGTAAGTGGGCAAACTACACACGTATGAGGGCAGGGGGCTTGTGTAAGTCTACTTTCCATTACTCTAATGAAACATCAAGGTATTGTTAGGAGGAAAGATTTATTTTGACTTACGTTTTTAGACCATGGCCTCTTGCACCTATTTAGTTTTGACACACTATCACATCCAGTTGAGTGTGTTTTGAGAGGAAGCTGTTAATTTGTGACAATCAGGAAGCAAAGGGAGAAGGAGCTGGAGCCCCCAGTATCTCTTTGCAGTGCACAGTCTCAGTGGAGTGAATTCCTCCCACCAGGTCCCACTTCCCAGTGAGGCCGTAAGATGGTGACCCAGTAGACCCAAAGGATACTTAAGAGGCAGAGTGAGTTTCTGGTTGGATTCCTGAGATGAAAAAATGTTTTTGTTTATTGATTGCTTGATTGATTGCCAGTTCTGGGGCTTAAACTCAGGGCCTAGACTCTGTCCCTGAGTAAATTCAAGACTAGTGCTCTGCCACTTGAGCCACTGCTCTACTTCTGGCTTATTGGTGATTAATTAAAGATCAGTGTTTTTTGAACTTTCTTGCCCTAGCTGGCGTTGAGCTGCGACCCTCAGATCTCAGCCTCCTAAATAGCTAGGATTAGAGTGTGAGTCACTGGTGTCTGGCTTTATGTAGTGCTTTTTTTTTTTTGGTCAGGTCGTGGGGCCTGAACTCTGGGCCTGGGTGCTGTCCCTCAGCTCTTCAGCTCAAGGCTAGTGCTCTACCACTTGAGCCACAGTGCCACTTTCAGCTGGGCCTGGGTGCTGTCCCTCAGCTCTTCAGCTCAAGGCTAGCGCTCTACCACTTGAGCCACAGTGCCACTTTCAGCTTTTTTTTCTTTTTGCTTATGTGGTGGTGGGGAATCGAACCCAGGGCCTCACACATGCAAGGCAAGCGCTCTACAACACTGAACCACCTTCCCAGCCCCTTTATATGGTGCTTTTCTAAGTTGAGAAGCTAGCTGGAAATCTAGAGGTTCTGTTTGTGTGACTTGGTTGGAACTGACTTTTAATTTCCCTTTAATGATGCTTTTCTGCCTTTTAGTAGCTGTTTGGACTAATCTTTAAGTCCTAGCAGTATAAGAAATACCTTTCCTACAAGGACAAGTTGAATTTTACATTGTCGCATATAAATACAAACTAGGGCTGGGGAGGTGGCTCTGTGGTAGAATGCTTGCCTTGCAAGCCCTGGTTTCAATTCCTCAGCACCACATAAGCAGAAAAAGCCGGAAGTGGCGCTGTGGCTCAAGTGGTAGACTGCTAGCCTTGAGCTGAATTGCAGAGGGACAGCACCCAGACCCGAAGTTCAAGCCCCACCACTGACCAAAAAAAAAAATCTGAAGTGGTAGTACTATGGAAGATTTATGATTGGTTTCCTTCAATGTATTTCTTCCAGATAGGAAAGTGAGATCATCTTTCTATGATTTAAAACCAGTTGTACTGTTCTTACTTTTAATTTATATTATCTGGCATAAGCAGTCTAATCAGGTAGTCTCTGACCTTCCCAGTCCTGATAACTATTAGAAAGAGAACTTATGAGCTGGATATTGTGGTGCATATCTGTAATCTCAGCTGCTTGGGAGGCAGAAGCTGGCAGATCTCAGGTTCAAGGCTAGTACTGGAAAAGTTAGCAAAGCCAGAGAAAGAAATCATGTCATCTGTACCTACAAATAACAACAAAAACAAAAAACTGCTGGGTACTGGTGGTTCACACCTATAATCCTTGTTACTGGCTGAGATCTGAGGATCATGGTTTGAAGCCAGCCTGGCAGGAAAGTCTGTGAGATTCTTAACTGCCTCAAAAGCCAAAAGTAGAGCTGTGGCTCAAATGGTAGTGATATCTTTGAGCAGAAAAGCTCAGGGACAGCACCCAGCCTCCCCCTTCTCCCCCATATGAAACCATGACATCTACAAGTAACACTCATTATAATGTATAAGGCTAATAGATACTAAATGTAGTTCTACATTTTTGCCACATTTTATTTTATTTTACCCAGTCCTGGAGCTTGCACTCAGGGCGTAGACACTGCCCCTCAGCTGCTTTTGCTCAAGGCAAGCATATACCACTTGAGTCACAGTGCCACTTCTGGCCTTTTCTGTTTATGTGATACTGAGGAATCAAGCCCAGGGCTTCATGCATGTTAGGAAGGCACTCTACCACTAAGCCACATTCCCAGCCCATTTGCCACTTTTTAATCCTTGTTACCTAATTGATGATTTCCCAGATACCATACTTTTCACCCACTATATGACATTCACTTTAGAAATGTTGGCAAATTTTTTTAGTTTTTTTTTTTTGGTCATGGGGCTTGAACTCTGGGCCTGAGCACTGCCCCTCAGCTTTTCAGCTCAAGTTTAGCACTCTGCCACTTGAGCCACAGCACCACTTCTGGTTTTCTGGTGGTTTATTGGAAATAATAGTCTCAAGGACTTTCCTGCCTGTGCTGGCTTTGAACTGCGATCCTCAGATCTCAGCCTCCTGAGTAGCTAGGATTACAGGTGTGAGCCATGGGCTCCAAGCAGCAAATTCTTATTTGTTTTTATTCTATATATTATTTCAAGTAACTTCCAGATAGTATTCTTAGGAGTCTGTCTTTTTATTGTCATGTCCTTTTTTGTTACTGTGTTATAGTTACTTATTTAGTTAAATTCAGGGCCTCAAGCTTGCTAGGTAGGCATTTGACCTATTCAAACTGTACTACCAGTTCTTTTGGTTATTTTGGGATAGGACCTCTCATTTTTGCTAGACTGGGCTGGACCATGGTCTTTCTTACACCTTCGATGTAGATAGGTTGATGCAGGCACATACCACTGTGCCTGGCTTATTGGTAGAGGTCTTTTTTTTTTTTTTTGCTTATGTGGTGCTGAGGAATCGAACCCAGGGCCTCAGGCATGCAAGGCAAGCGCTCCACCACTGAGCCACCTCCCCAGCTGATAGAGGTCTTGCTAACTTTTTGTCTTGCTAACTTTTTGCCCAGACTGGCCTTGAACTGTGTTCTCTTCCCTACCTTCACCTGAGTAACTGGGATTACATCTGTGAGCTACTGTATCTGGCTTAAAATGATAACTGTAATGAATATGAAAACCTTAATAATTTAACTAGAGATATCTATGCTTTATGTGTGGCCTATCCTGAACCGCTTGGAGAAAGACTTTATACAGAAACAAAGATTTTTTTGGAAAGTCATGTTCGGCATTTGCACAAGGTAAGAACTGGTATATACATGATGTAAATGTGTTTATAGCTACATAATTGACTAGTTCATTTTCCCAGTATAAGTAAGTGAAGGAGTGGTCAGCTCATTGGATGTTGCTTACAACTGAATACTCCCTACTTTTATTTTCACAGCTTTTTAATTTTGGGGGAGGGGGGGACTCTGGGCTTGGGCGCTGTCCCTGAGCTCTTTAGCTCAGGGCTAGCACTTTACCACTTGAGCCACAGTGCCACTTTCAGTTTTCTGGTGGTTAATTGGAGATGTGAGTCTCATGTATTTTCCTGTCTGGGCTGGGTTTGAACCACAATCCTCAGATCTCAGCCTCCTGAGTAGCTAAGCTTACAGGTGTGAGCCACTAGTGCCTGGCTAATTTTCACATCTTGATAAATCCCTTTATTATTTTATTTGAATCTATTAGCTGTCATTACAATATCACTGTCTCTCTGGCAGTGAGTTCTGCTGCACACAGCATTTCAAGCTGGTCTGAGTTATAATCTTACCAGGAACTGGAGAAGTTAATTTATTGCCTGGTCTGGAATCTTGACTTTATCTTTTAACAGCCATGATGCTAACCATGGCAGCTCAGTAATTTCCTAATGAACTGAACCCTTAGGTTATCCATAAAATAGGAATAAAGACTGTCTAACCCTTTGTGTGGATAGTAGTAGGTACTTTTTTTTTTTCTTCTCTTGTCTCTCGGGCCTGAACTCTGGGCCTGGGAGCTGTCCCTCAGCTCTTCAGCTCAAGGCTAGCACTCTACCTCTTGAGCCACAGCACCACTTCTGGCTTTTTCTGCTTATGTGGTGCTAAGGAATCAAACCCAGGGCCTCATGCACGCAAGGCAAGCACTCTACCACTGAGCCATCTTCCCAGCCCAGTAGTAGGTACTTTTAAAACCTTGTAGCAACCCACAGACAGACATGGTTTAAAATTCCTTTTAAAATGACAAGTAAAGGGAAATGGGGTTGTATAAACACCATGTAGAAGACATAGGCTTTTGTTTTACTTGGATGAGTCTTATTAATTGCTCCTTCACTTACTACTTTTATGATCTTTTACAACTGAAGCAATTGTCATGTGAATTTTCAGTTATGACATTTGAAGGAGCTTAGTAACTTTTCCTTCCTTTATTCCTTTCCCTTCTTTTTTCCCTTTCTGTTGATCTGTCTTGTTCTGGGGTTTAAAGTTAGGGCCTCATGCTTGCTAGGTAGATGTTCTGCTGCTTGAGATACTCCTCAGTCTGTTTTGTTTTCTTCTTATTTCCATTTCGTGAACCTAAGCTGTAAATATTTGCTTTTGTTTTTTAAATTAGGGTCTAACTTTTTTTTCCCAGCCAGCCTGCCTAGAGCATAGTCCTCTTGTTTATGCTTTCCATATTGCTGGATGGCAGACATGTGCCACCATGACCATATGGTTGAGATGGGTTTGGATAATCTTCTTGCCTGGATTAGCTTTGAGTCACAATTCTGTGATCTCAGTTTCTTAAGTGGCTAGGATTCCAGTCACGAGCCACCCTGCAGAAATGTTTTACAGCGAATTTTATATTTATTGTATGTGGCATGTATATATATATATTTTGGTCCGGTCGTGGGGCCTGAACTTTGGGCCTGGGCGCTGTCCCCCAGCTCTTCAGCTGTAGACCAGCTCTCTACCACTTGAGCCTTGGCCCCACTTCTGGCTTTTTCTGCTTATGTGGTGCTGAGGAATTGAACCCAGGGCCTCATGCATGCAAGACAAGCAATCTACCACTGAGCCACCTTCCCAGCCCCATGACATGTACATATTAATGTTCTAGTGGGTGCACTTTTCAGGCCATAGAAATGGTTTTGCTAGCAAGGACACTAGCGTAGTCTCAATGTTTAATAAGGTTTTTATTTTTTGCCAGTCCTTGGACTTGAACTCTGGGCTTGGATGCTGTCCTTAGCTCCTTTTGCTCTACCACTTGAGCCACAGCTGTACTTCCAGCTTTTTCTTTGATTAATTGGAGATAAGAGTCTCAGGGACTTTGCTGCCTGGGCTGGCTTCCAATTGTGATGCCTTAGATCTCAGCCTCCTGAGTAGCTAGGATTACAGTTGTGAGCCACTGGTGCAGGGCTCAGTGTTTAATATGTTAAATTGTTTTATTAAAGTTCTGCTATTATAAGCTAGTGACTTTTGGTCATATCATAATTGATAACTATGTAAGACATTTGTAACTTATTTTTAGATTATGTGGTTGTTTAAAAAACTCAGACTTACAGAAAAGTTGCAAACACCGTGTAGAGAGTTTTCATATTGTACTTTTTCCCTTTCCTCCCCTCCCTTGTCCTGTTCTCTTTTTCTAGGCTTTCTTTTTCTTTTTTTGGGTCCGGTTGTGGGGCCTGAACTCTGGGCCTGGGCGCTGTCCCTCAGCTCTTCAGCTCAAGGCTAGCGCTCTACCACTTGAGCCACAGCCCCACTGCCGGCTTTTTTTTTCTGCTTATGTGGTGCTGAGGAATCGAACCCAGGGCCTCATGCACGCAAGGCAAGTGCTCTACCACTGAGCCACCTTCCCAGCCCTCTTTTTCTAGTCTTATTTGGGACAGGGTCTTACTATTGCTATGTAGCTATGTGGCTTCTAATTTGTAATCCTCCTGTGTCAAATGATCAGGAGCTGGGATTACAGGCTTGTATGACCTCACTCAGCTTTCTCATATACTTTTTTTTCAGCTTCTTAGTACTAATAGCTAGCATAAAAATAGTAGTATTAAATCTGAGAAGTTAACATAACTTATTTTTTCTTTTCTTCCTTTCTTCCTCCTTCCTTTTTTCTCTCACCCTCTCTCTCCTCTTCTCTTTCCTCAACTTTTTGCCTCTCTTCCTCTCCCTTTCTCCCTTCTCTCTCCTCCTCTCCCCTCCTCTCTGATACTAGAGATGTAACTCTGGGTTTAAGTGCTCTACCACTTAAGCCATTCTCCAGCCTTAACTGTGAGTTTTAAAATGGTATTGTAGTACAGATTCATGGAAGTCATATATACCATATATTCTCGGAGATCCTAGGACAAAAAGTTGATATGTATATAACAAATGCAAATTGTTATATAGTCAACAGAAATTTTACCTGCTTGGAAGAAGGAATTTTTTAAATTATCAAAGTATTGCATTACTAGTATAGATAATTTAGAATTTAGAGATTAGTAAAAAGAAGAAAAAAATCTTACCATTACCTATAACATATATCCAGAGTTAACCACTAGGAATATTTTTGATAAAAGCTATCCTAAAGTGTGTCTTCTGGTATATGACAATATATACTTCATTTGATTTTTTTTTGTTTTTTGGCCAGTTGTGGGACTTGAATTTTGGGCCGGGGTGCATTCCTTGCACTATTCAGCTCAAGGCAAGTGCTCTACCGCTTGAGCCACAGCACCACTTCTGGTTTTCCAATGGTTTATTGGAGATAAGAGTCTTAGGGAGTTTCCTGCCTGGGCTCGCTTTGAACTGTGAGCCTCAGATCTCAGCCTCCTGAGTAGCTAGGATTACAGGTGTGAGCCACCAGTGCCTGGCACTTAATTTGGTGTGTGTGTGTGTGTGTGTGTGTGTGTGTGTGTGTGTGTGTGTGTGTGTGTGTGTGCGCGCGCGCGCGCTGCGCGCGCCACCAGTGTGTGTGTGCGCGCGCCACCAGTGCCTGGCACTTAATTTGGGGTGTGTGTGTGTGTGTCTCGCGCGCCAGTACTGAGGCCTATAGTCAGAGCCTTATGTGCTCCAATAGCTTTTTCACTAAAAGACTTTCACTGTACTACTTGAGCCATATCTTCAGTTCTGGCATTTTGTTGATTAATTGGAGGTAAGAGTCTCAGACTTTTCTTCTGGCTACTCACACTTTATTAAATGAACTTTTGTAATCTGGCATGTTTTGTAAAATATTTTCTCATTCTGGAGATGGTATGATTTGTTAAATATTCCCATGTATTTCTTTCTTTTTTTTTTTTGTTGGTCATGGGGCTTAAACTTTGGACTTGGGAGCTGTCCCTCAGCTCTTCAGCTCAAGGCGAGCGCTCTACCACTTGAGCCACAGTGCCACTTCTGGTTTTCTGGTGGTTTATTGGAGATAAGAGTCTCATGGACTTTTCTTGCCCGGGCTGGCTTTGAACCGCGATCCTCAGATCTCAGCTTCCTCAGTAGTTGGGATTACAGGCGTGAGCCACTGGTCCCAGGCTTCCCATGTATTTCTTGAAAGAAATGTTTCCAATTTATATACATTTTACTGTAGGTAATACTTATGTGAACATCTTTGTGGCCAAATTGTTGTGTAGCCATTAATTATATATATATACATCTTATATATATCTTTTTTTTGGGGGGGGGTCCGGTCGTGGGACCTGAACTCTGGGCCTGGGTGCTGTCCCTCAGCTCTTCAGCTCAAGGCTAGCACTCTACAACTTGAGCCACAGCGCCACTTCCAGCTTTTTTTCTTTTTGCTTATGTGGTACTGGGGAATCGAACCCAAGGCCTCATGCATGCAAGGCAAGTGCTCTATCACTGAGCCACCTTCCCAGCCCCCATTAATTAATCATTTTTTTGGTGCTAGGGATTGAACCTAAGTTCTTGTGCATGTTAACCATACCCTTCTACCACTAAGTCTAGACTCTGTGATTTTCTTTGTTTTATTATTATTTTTTCCTAGGGGAGGGTATCAAGTCTTACTGGTTAGCTCAGTTGTATAGCTATGTGGCCTCAAACTTTTAGTTGATATTATAGCTGTGCAACACCATGCCTAGGTTTTTTGTTTGGTTTCTTCCCTCCCTCCCTCCCTCTCTTCTTTCTTTCCTTCCTTCCATATTTCCTTCTTTCTCTCTTTCTCTTTTTCTCTCTTTCTCTCACTCTTTCTTTTTCTTTCTTTCACTTACTTACTTACTTGATAATGTCTCTCAGGCTTGTATCCCAGGCTAGCCCAGAATTCATGATCTTCTTGCTGTAGTTTGAGTTTTTGGTTAGAGTGTATCCCACTATGTCTGATTATCGTGTGTGTGTGTGTGTGTGTGTGTGTGTGTGTGTGTGTGTGTGTGTGTGTGTGTGTGTGTGTGTGTGTGTGTGTGTGTGTGTGTGTGTGTATTTGCTACAGGTACAGGGGCTTGAACAGGTACAGGTGCCCTTTAGCTTTTTCAATCAAGGCTAGTACTATGCCATCTGAGCTGGTTAGCTCAGTTGTGTAGCTATGTGGCCTGCTTGAGCCACAACATTACTTCTGACTTTTTCTGTTTATGTGGTACTGAGGAATTGAACTCAGGGTTTCATGCATGCTAGGCAAGTACTCTACCACTGAGCCACATTCTCACATTCCCACATTCCCAGTCTTCTCCCTCTCCTCACGTTTTTTTTTTTTTTTGTCACTTGAGCATGAATTCAGTGCCTAGGTTCCCTGAGCTCTTTTTGCTCAAGGTTAGTGCTCTACCACTCTGAGCCATAGTTCTACTTCCAGTTTTCTGGTGGTTAATTGGAAATAAGTCTAATGCACTTTTCCTGTCTCAGCTGGCTTTGAACTGAGATGCTCTGATCTTAGCCTCCTGAGTAGCTAGGATTACAGACATGAGCCACTAGTGCTCAGCTTAGCTTTCTTTTAATTTTTCTAAAAATAATAACTTTCTATTAAGTAAACAAAACTTAATTTGTAAAATGGGAATGTCAGTTTCCATGAATAGTCTTAGTAGTGATGTTATTAAAGGTAATTGATTTGGAATAGTAATTGACTCACATAGATACAAAATGATAGAAAACTATATGCTATTTTAAACTGAGATTTATGCTCTATCCTAAGGACAAAAATCAAAATACTGCCTCTTGTCTGTTGCATCTGAGATTCGCCTTTTCCCCAGTTGTTTCATTTGCACTAAAGACAATATAATTTATAAATGTAATTTATGATACTGAAATTATGTAAGTTATTTTAGAAATTTTTCATTTTGAAGATTACAGTGAAAATGATTAGTGCTTCATAAGTAAACTTTTTTTTCCCCTTTATATAGAGAGTTTTGGAATCTGAAGAACAAGTACTTGTAATGTATCATAGGTATTGGGAAGAATATAGCAAGGGTGCAGACTATATGGACTGCTTATATAGGTAAGTACAATTTTTGGTGAAATTGGGTTTAGAATTCAGGTTCTTGTGTGCTAGGCAGGTGTTGTGCCATTTGAGCCATGCCTCAAGCCAACCACAGTAAGTATGTTTTAAAAATCCTAACATCTGTGTTCATCATAGCCAAATTATGCTTTCAGCCGAACAACTGATTGATGAGTAGCTAAAGAATATATGGTACAAATACACTATAGAATATTAGCTGTTAAAAAATGAAATTATGTCATTTTCAGGAAAATTATTGGAATTAGCGATCATCATGTTGAACAAGATAAGCCAAACTCAGAAAGCCAAATGTTATATATTCTTATTTGTTTGTGGAATCTAGACTAAAATGATCATGATGGTGCTGTTGATAATGATAATGGAATGTGAATGTAAGGGGGGCTGTTTGGGAGGATTAGCAGGCATGGGGAGATGGAAATAAAAGGATGTGAGGGGTGGAGAGGAACAAAATATATGTACATGTTTATATAATATGCATATGCACCTGTATATGTATGTGACAACATAATGAAATCCACCAAATGTGGTTAGAGAGAAGAGGGGTGTGGGGGTGAAATTGTTTAGAATACACTAGATGAATGTGTGTAGAGCATAATAAACCCCTCTGGTGTTATTAATATGTATTAATTAAAAAACTTAACAGGCTAAACAGTATTGACTACATCTAGTAACTGAAGGAATAAGATTTTCTTCACTTTTTATAAGTTTTTTTTTTTTTTTTTTTTTTTTGGTGGTGGGGCTTGAACTCTGGGCCTGCTCTTCAGCTCAAGGCAAGTGCTCTACCACTTGAGCCACAGTGCTACTTCCGGTTTTCTCAGTGAGTGGTTTCTTGGAGATAAGAGTATCATGGACTTTCCTGCCAGGGCTGGCTTTGAACTGTGATCCTCAGATCTTAGCCTCCTGAGTAGCTAGGATTACAGGTGTGAGCCACCAATGCCCAGCTTTATTAGCATATTATTATTATTATTATTACTATTTTTATTATTTTGGTGCCACTATTGGGGCTTGAACTCAGGTTTTGGGTGCTTTCCCTTAGCTTTTTCACTCAAGGCTGGTACTCTGCCACTTGAGCCACAGCTCTATTATCGGCTTTTTGGTGGCTTATTGGAGTCCCCCATTGGGCTGACTTTGAACTGGGATCCTCAGATTTCAACCTACTGATTAGCAAGAATTACAAATGTGGGCCACAAGCACCCAGCTTTTTATTACCATATTATTAATATTACAAAATAATGGCTTTGATTGTGAAGGAGTAATTTTCATTTGGTATTTTCCATTGAAATTCAAAGAATGAGATCATTTCTCTTGACTTTGATTCTTATTGGCAACAAGTGTTAGTTTCAGTCAAGTATATGTTTTGTGGCCAGGCAGTGTATAGAAAAAGTTTTTCTGAAAATTTAAAACTACATGGCTCTATTTGTTCTGTCTGGAATCTACAGTGCGTATCAAATCTAAACAGATGGATGTGAAAATTCAGTTTGGATGAAACATGGTTTAAATATTAACTCCTGCTCCTCTGTAAGTTCCTATTTGACCCTAGCATTCAGTATTTCACATTTCATGGGAAATTAAGTGCTTGCTAGTTTTTCTTTCCTTTTTCCTACCCTGTTCTCCAGGCATATTGCCTTTCCTCATGCTACTGCATCTGCCTGGATTACTTTTCTTCTTTTTTATGGATGACTAATTCTGGCACATTCTGCTTTCTAAATTTGGTGTGCCTTCCTGGGCTGTCTCTTGCTTAGGTCTTTGGTGTCACTATGACTGCTGTGTGTTGCCATGGCATTCTATGCTGATCCCATAACCCAATCCAGAAGACAGTAGAAATGAGGACAGTCACCTGTTGCATGACAGGAACCTGTTCTAGAAAGAGTGCTGGGTGATTTCTTACTTAATCATCAGAGCGTGTATGTACATAAACTAAGATGACAGTGACATCATTAAACAATACAATCTTAGGGACCAGTGTCATGTAATCCATTGGTAACCAAAAACCTTATGAATGTATTTTGGTATGTAAGTCCTGCTTACTGACGCATAGTAAATAAATAGGAAATAGTGGCTGTAAGTATGGGTTTTTGTTTTGGTTGTTTGCTTCCACTCTTGGACCTAGGCAGGGTGTTTCTCTCTCTCTCTCTCTCTCTCTCTCTCTCTCTCTCTCTCTCTCTCTCTCTCTCTCTCTTTTATTTTATTTATTTGTTTATTTTTGGGTCCAGTCAGGGGGCCTGACCTCTAGGCCTGAGCACTGTCCCTCAGCTCTTCAGCTCAAGGCTAGCGCTCTACCACTTGAGCCACAGTGCCACTTCCGGCTTTTTTCTTTTTGCTTATGTGGTGCTGAGTAATCGAACCCAGGGCCTCATGCATGCAAGGCAAGCGCTCTACCACTGAGCCACCTTCCCAGCTCCTCTCTCTTTTTTGTCAGTTGTGGGGCTTGAACTCTGGGCCTGGGTGCTGTCCCACAGCTCTTCAGCTCAAGACTAGCGCTCTACCTCTTGAGCCACAGCACCACTTCTGGTTTTCTGAGTGGTTTATTGTAGATAAGAGTCTCGTGGATTTTCCTGCCTGGGCTGGCTTTGAACCACAATCCTCAGATCTCAGCCTCCTGAGTAGCTAGGATTACAGGCCTGAGCCAACAGTGCTTGACTTAGGGTGTTCTTTTTGAACTGATTGTAGCCTGGCATGGATGTTGTGATAATTTTGCCCCGTATACTATTGGTTGGGTCACAGCTGGGCCCTTCCAGGTTTTCACTGGGGTAAGGTTGAGGAATTGTTGACTCTAGGCATTTGTTGTGCAGTCCCACCATGAATTGTAGCTCTGTTTTGTTGCTAGACCAGTGCTCAGTGGTTTTTTTTATTTGGTGGGTTGTGGGTCTTGAACTATGGGACTGGGTGCTGTCCCTGAGCTCTTCAGCTCAAGACTAGTCTCTACCATTTGAGCCACAGCACCACTTCTGGTTTTCTGGTGGTTTATTGGAGATAAGAGTCTCACAGACTTTCCTGCCCAGGCTAGCTTTGAACTGCGATCTTCAGATCTCAGCCTCCTGAGTAGTTAGGATAGTAGGCGCCCAGCTCTGCTCAGTCTTTTTATTGCCGGTCCTGAGTCTTGAACTTGAGGTCTGGTCTCTGTCTCTGAGCTTTGTTTGTTCAAGGCTAATGCTCCACCACTTGAGGCACTTCTGTTTTGTGGTGGTAAGTGGAGTTGAATTCATGGACTTTCCTTCCTGGACTGGCTTTGAACTGCAGTCTTCAGATCTCAGCCTCCTGAGTAGCTAGGATTACAAGTATAAGCCACTGGTGCCTGGCCAATGGTCAGTCTTTTATGTTGTTTGTCTTCCTTTGCTTCACTGATTGATCTCTGATTTTTATAACAAAACTGCAGTTTAAATTGTCTGCTTTATAAACTGGGCTTATTTCTTAATGGCCCAGGGCCTTCTGAAGAACAAAATGCAATAATAAATCTAGGCTTTTTATAAAGTGGTGTCTGCTGTACATTAAGTCTTTGATTTTTTTTCCGTCTTCTACTAACATGAGATAAATTAGAATTCCTGGTTAAGACCTGGGGATATATATTGGCATGAGTATGGACTTGGATTTGATCTCTAGCAAAACGTGTACACACACACACATGTGCGCTCGTGCGCACACAATTGTGCACACGCATGGACCCACTCCCCTAGATGAAATGTAGGGGAATTTGAAGGGTAAGAGTTCATGCGTGTTCATTGATGCATGCTTTTGTCATTGTGGGGGTCAAGTGGATATTTGGTTTGTTGACGACTTCAGAGTGCACCATACTTTGAGATTTCTCTTTAGCTGATAAGATTTAATAACGATTTAAGGAGTTTTTTTACTCTTGTTTTCTAAGAATTTACTTGGCTCTTTTTTTGTTTACCAAAATTAATTAATATACAGTTTATGTACAAGTGCAAGCGTGTGTGTGTGTGTGTGTGTGTGTGTGTGTGTGTGTGTGTGTGTGTGTGTGTGTGTGTGTGTGTGTGTGTAAAGCCTTGGAGGGATGGTATCTCCTTACTTCCTTTCCTACTTCTCTCTCTCCCTCCTCTCCTCTTCCCCCTCTCCCTTTTTCCCTTTCCTCCCCCCCCTCCTCCTGGTTGCTGTCCTTGAGCTAAATTTTGTTCAAGGCTAGTACTCTACCACTTGAGCCTCAGCTCCACTTCCAGTGTTTTGATGGTTAATGAAATAGTCTCAAAGACTTTCCTGCCCTGGCTAGCTTTGAATTGGACAAATTTTAGCCTCTTGAGTACATGTGATTACAGGTATGAGCTACTGGAGCCTGGCATCCCTTGGTTCTTTACTCATGGCAGGATCTTGTTACCACTAGCCACGTCCCAGTCCTGGCCTTTTCTCATTAATTAGGAATATGAGTTTCATGGACTTTTCTGCTGAGGCTACCTTTGAACACCAGTCCTCAGATCTCAGCCTCCTGAGTAGCTAGGATTTATAGGCAAGAGCCACTGGTGCCTAGATGGTATCTACATTTTTAAAAAAAATTTACTTTTATTGTAAAGAAACTGTACAGAGGGGTTACAGTTACATAGGTAAGGAGTACATTTCATTTCATTTCTGTTTTTTTTTTATTTTTTTGGGTCCGGTTGTGGAGCCTTAACTCTGGGCCTGGGTGCTGTCCCTCAGCTCTTCAGCTCAAGGCTAGCGCTCTACCAGTTGAGCCACAGCGCCACTTCCGGCTTTTTTCTTTTTGCTTATGTGGTGCTGAGGAATCGAACCCAGGGCCTCATGCATGCAAGGCAAGTGCTCTACCACTGAGCCACCTTCCCAGCCCCTACATTTCATTTCTTACGGAACATTGTTACCCCCTCCTTTGCTTTTTTCCTACTATCCCTTCCCTCCCCCACCTTGGTATCTACATTTTTACAGTAGAAGAAATTAAAGCTTGGAAAGATTTACAAGTTAGCTTGAGATCACTTAACTTTTGAGTAATGGCAGAATTAAAACCTAGGTAAGAGATTTTTCAAAGCTTATCTCCTATATACTACTTTAATTTTGTTCCAAACATACTTTTAGTCATTTATAGGTTATAATCCCATCCTTTTTCTTAAAAGAAAAAAGTTACCACAGGATATTGTTTTACAAATTCTATTAATAATATTATAGAAATTCAAAGCATGTTTATTTATTTGTTTATTTATTTTTGCCAGTCCTGGGGTTTGAACTCAGGGCCTGGTTGGGCATTGTCCCTGAGCTGCTTTTGCTCAGACAAGGCTAATAATTCAGCCACAGGGCCACTTGTGTTTTTTTGTTTTTTGTTTATGTGATACTGAGGAATCAAACCCAGTGCTTCATACTTGCTATGCAAGCACTCTAAGCTACATTCCCCGCTCTCAAAGCATGTTCATTTGCTAGGAAAACATATCCATATAGGTATTGCACTAAGATTTCTTTGCAGATATTGTATCTTTATAGATATTCGTATCAACATAGATTATTTAATAGATTGTTATTTAATTTAGTCAATTGATATTCAGTTAACATGGATATTGTTTTATAATAAAAAGTGTGCATTTTGTAGAAATGTTTCAGATCCACAAGAGGATCTAGGGATGATTGTTTCAGTGATGTTCACAAAGTCTGTAAAATATACTTTGTATAAGCACATGTATGGGGCTGGGAAGGTGGCTCAGTGGTAGAGCGCATGCCTTGCATGCCAGAGGCCCTGGGTTCGATTCCTCAGCACCACATAAGCAAAATTAAAAAAGCTGGAAGTGGCGCTGTGGCTCAAGTGGTAGAGCGCTAGCCTTGAGCTGAAGAGCTGAGGGACAGCGCCCAGGCCCAGAGTTCAGGCCCCATGACCGGACCCCCCCCAAATAAACAAAAAAAAACAAGCATATGTAAGTTTAATTTCTGTATTATGACTTGTAACTTTTTGTTTTTTTGGTTGTGGGGCTTAAACTCAGGGCCTGGGCCCTGTCTTTGAGCTTTTTTGCTCAAGGATACTTTTCTACCACTTAGAGTCACAGCACTGCTTCTGCTTTTCTGGTGGTTAATTGGAGATAAGAATCTCACAGACTTTCATTGCCCAGGTTGGCTTGGGACTGTGATCTTCAGATCTCAGCCTCCTGAGTAGCTAGGATTACAGGCATGAGCCACCAGTGCCTGGCAAGACAGGCTTTTTAAGTAGTCACAATAGCTAGGCCCTGGTGGCTCATGCCTGTAATCCTAGCTACTCAGGAGGCTGAGATCTGAGGATCACGGTTCAAAGCCAGCCCAAGCAGGAAACTCCGTGGCTCAAGCGGTAGAGTGCTTGCCTTAAGCTGAAGAGTGCAGAGAAAGCACCCAGGCCCAAGTTCAAGCCCCACCACTGACAAAAAAAAAAAAAAAAGAAAAAGCCTGTCTTGAGCTGTATGTATATGTGTGTATTTGTGTGTGTGTGTGTGTGTGCATGCACGCACACATGTGTGAGCCTGTGCAGGTGTGCAAGTGCTGGTCCTGGGTCTTGAAATCAGGGTCTGGGCAAATGCTCAAGGCTAATGCCCTACTACTTGAGCCACAGCTCCATTTCCAACTTGGAAGTTTATTGGAGGTAAGAGTCTTATGGGCTTTCCTGCCCAGGCTGAATTGGAACTGTGATCATCCTATCTAAGCCTGTTGCATGGCTAAGATTATTAGGTGTGAGCCATCAATACTTAGCCTCTGCTTAAGCTTTTAACTGTCAAGTACAGGTCTGACTTATTTCCTGTGTAGTTTTCTTTAAAGTGCTCTGGACTGCATCTGACACATGATATGATCCAAAGAAATATTAGCAATTTTATTTCCTGATGTACATGGTTTTAATGATCTGTTTAACTTCAGCTGTTTGTAAATGCTAAGTAGACTAACATTTTGGTGTAGTAAACCTCAGAAATGTGTGTATTTTAACATACTGAATTTCTTTTTCTGTTAATAGCCTTTTATATATTGGCAGAACCTTGTGAAACATTAAAACATTAAAGGAATTAAGGTGAAATCTAGGATGATGAAAATATATACTTGAACATTAAAAGCCCTTGTGGAACATTTTATTTCAGAACTCAGTATTCATCTTCAAATTCATTACAGTTATTAGTCTTAGAAGATGTGGAATGTTTTTCATAATCTCTATTCTTTTGGTAGAACTCAATCTATTCAGTTTTACCAATAATCTTGCTCTTGGGAACGATCTATATTCTCTTTTTCTTACCTACTGATTGTGATCTGATCATAGTCTCGTGTGTGTGTGTGTGTGTGTGTGTGTGTGTGTGTGTGTGTGTGTGTGTGTGTGTGTGTGTGTGTGTGTGTGTGTGTTTCATGTTTGCTGGTACTGGGGCTTGAACTCAGGATCTGGGTGCTCTCCCTTAGCTTTTTTACTCTGGCTTTTTAGTGGTTAATTGGAAATAATAATCTTACAAATTTTCAACCCAGGCTGACTTTGAACTGCAATCCTCAAATCTCAGCCTCCTGAGTAGTTGAGTTATTAAAAAAAATAAAAATAAAGAATTATATTTCTTTGGCTGAATTGACTTAACTGTGATCTTTTATCCTTTTTTTCTGTTAATCTTTTTTTTTTGGGGGGGGGGTCAGTCGTGAGTCGAACTCTGGGCCTCGGTGCTGTCCCTGAGCTCTTCAGCTCAAGGCTAGTGCTTACAGTTTCCTGGTGGTTAATTGGAGATCAGAGTCTCCTGGAGTTTCCTGCCCAGGCTGGCTTTGAACCGTGATCCTCAGATATCAGCCTCCTAAGTAGCTAGGATTACAGTCATGGGCCACTGGTGCCTGGCTTGTTAAATTTTTTATAATGTTGACTTCATCTAAGAGTTGGGAATTAGCAAATTAGACTGTCAAAAGTCTCACCCTTGATTATTCAACTGTGTGCATATTGGGAATTTTTACAGCAGAACTCCTGAGATTTTAAAATGTGACTGGGTAATAGTATTTTTTTCTGGTCTAAAGGTGTTTGTTGTCTCTCAGGGCCTTGCAGAAAGAGTGTAGGTAATTTAATCTTTTTCATTGTATTCATTTCTAAGCTTTACATATTTACTTTTGGACTTACCAGTGAACTATTCTGTGATTTATTTTTAATATTTTGATGTATTTTTCATTAACTTTCAATTTTAAATTTTTCTCATTTTTAGTTATTATAAAGGTTATGTATAGAGGGGTTACAGATATAATAAGTCAAGAGACATTTCTTTTTCTTCTTCTTCTTTTTTTTTTTTTTTTTTGTCGGTCATGGGGCTTGAACTCTGGGCTTGGGCGCTGTCCCTGCGCTCTTCAGCTCAAGGCGAGCACTCTACCGCTTGAGCCACAGTGCCACTTCCGGTTTTCTAGTGGTTTATTGGAGGTAAGAGTCTCACAGACTTTCCTGCCTGGGCTGGCTTTGAACCATGATCCTCAGATCTCAGCCTCCTGAGTAGCTAGGCTTACAGGTGTGAGCCACTGGCGCCCAGCTAAGAGTACATTTCTTTTTGGACAGTGTCACCCCTTTCCTCTCTCTCTCCCAGTTTTTCCTACCCATCCCCACCTATAAGTTGTATAGTTAATTTTCAACATAGTGTTTAATGAATACCAGTACTGCATTTGTTTATACTTAATCTATTAGCTTGAAATGATCCTTTCAAAGCTGAACTTGTTTTCTCACTGACATTGACTTAGCATACAGTGATACTACATTTGTTTTTCAGGTATCTCAACACTCAGTTTATTAAAAAGAATAAGTTGACTGAAGCTGATCTTCAGTATGGCTATGGTGGAGTAGATATGAATGAACCACTTATGGAAATAGGAGAGGTAATACATTTTTTGAAATGATTGCAAACATAAGTGTTTTAATATATTGAATGATTTTATTCAATGTCTTTTTTAAAAAAAGGATACCAAATTGATTATCTTAATATTGTCAAGATTAAAACATTCTAGTGTAAATAAAATGCTATGATTTCCTTCTTTTTTTTTTTTTTTTGTCAGTCATGGGGCCTGAACTCTGGGCCTGGGCGCTATCCCTCTGCTCTTCAACTCAAGGCTAGCCTCTACCACTTGAGCCATAGGGCCACTTCTATCTTTTCTGTTTGTGTGGTGCTTAGAATTTGACCCCAGGGTCTCATGCATGCTAGGCAAGCATTCTACCCACTGAGCCACCTTCCCAGCCCAAATGCTATGATTTCTAAGAATCTTTTAATAGATTGGAGACAGAAAAATATGGAAAATCGCTATTTTCTAATTAAATTTATGGTAGATGAATAATAGGATTTATGATTCTGCAGTGTGGAAAAAAAACCTCAGAAATTATTTAGGAATGCTGACTCCTGTAATTTAAAAGTACAAAGGACAAAGAGTTAAAAAGTAGTTAGATGAGAAGAAACAGATTATGGATCTAACAAACTACTTACATAAAACATAAAGATACAACAAAATTTTGAGTTAAAGTAATTATTCAAGTTTTGAGGATTTAGTGCAATTTTTTAAAATTTTATTTTATTGTAAAGATACTGTACAGAGGTGTTACAGTTACGTGAGTAATGAGTACATTTCTTGTCCACCATTGTTACCTCCTCCTTTATGTTTTCCCACCATCCCTTCCCTCCCCCATTGGTGCAAATTTAAATGTGAAAAATTATATACTGATTTTTTTAAATACTCTGTACAAATTTATTTGATATTTATTGTGTGGCCACGCATTTGGGGGTGAACAGACAGAGGTCCTTGTCCACAGGAAACTTGTAAGATCATGGAGGGAAGCAGATAAAGAAATTAATGTTAGCTGGGTGCCAGTGGCTCACGCCTGTAATCCTAGCTGCTCAGGAGGCTGAGACTTGAGGATCATGGTTCAAAGCCAGCCCAGGCAGGAAAGTCTGTGAGACTCTTATCTCCAATAAAGCACTGGAATACTAGAAGTGGCGCTGTGGCTCAAGTGGTAGAGCAGTCGCCTTGAGCTGAAGAGCTGAGGCACAGCGCCCAGGCCCAGAGTTCAAGCCCCATAACCGACCAAAAGAAAAAATTAATGTTAACTTGTGATGAATGTTACTGAATGAAGTAGGTGAGATGCACCAATATTACTAATTTAAATTAGCATATTCCTCTTAGAAAGAAATTGATCAGTGTCTTTCAATAGATTTAAAAATGTTCAACATGTATGGGTAGAGGAGGAGGTGATGCTGGAAATGGAACTCAGGGCCTTGTGCACACTAGGCAAGCACTCTGCCACTGAGTTTACTTTCTTCACCCTAGCCCCCCTTCTTTTTTTTTGTCATTCTTGGATCTTGAACTCCAGCCTAGGTGCTGTCCTTGAGCTCTTTGGCTCAAGGCTAGTAGTTTACTACTTTGAGCCACAGTGCCACTTCTGGTTTTTTGGTGATTAATTGGAAACAAATGTTTCATGGACTTTCTTGCCAGGGCTGGTTTGGGACTGAGATCCTCAGATCTCAGCGTCCTGAGTAGCTAGGATTACAGGCATGACCGACCAGCACCAGGCTTACCCCAGCCCATTAAACACTTGAAAAATAATAAGAAAAAAAGGTTAAAAGTATCTTTGAACAGCTGTTCTTAGATGGCAGATAATAGGTAAACAATTTAACTTTGTGAAATCCAACAATAAAATCCATACACAGAATATATAGAGGTAAATAAAGGTAAATAAGTGAATAACTTAATAGAAACCTCACCAAGGGGAAAATAAATTTTGAAAAAAATTGAACATCTATGTTTAATAAACTAAAATGATAGCGAAAAAAGATGCAGAGGAAAAAGTGTGAGATGAACCAAAAGTCATTTTTGTTCATTTTGTTGGTGTTCTAATCCAACCCAGGGCCTTGCAGATGCTAGGCAAGTGTTCTGTCACTGAAATACATCCTTAGTCCCCCAACAAAGTGGTTTGAATTCAGGGCCTCATGTTCTTGCTTAGCTTTTTTTTTTTTTTTCCAGTCCTGGGGCTTGATCTCAGGGCCTGGGCAAATGTCCCTGAGCTTCTTTTGCTCAAGGCTAGCACTCTACCACTTGAGCCACAGTGCCACTTCTGTTTTTTCTTTTTATATAGTACTGAGGAAGTGAACCCAGTGCTTCATGCATGCTAGGCAAGCCTCTACCACTAAGGCACATTCCCAGCCCTCCCCTAACCCCAAATCTTAATAGTATTTGCTTTCAGTTACCCTGAGCACCAGTACCATCAAAACCTACTCAATTTGATTGGTAGCTTTCCTGTATTTGCATTCCTTATGTACATATATTTATATGTATGCATATGTATATGCTTATATGTATGCGTATAATATATACATATATTTCAGCTTATATGTGTGTCTATAATATATATAGACACACATACATACATATACACATGTATACGCATACATATATCAGCTTACTCCCTACCCCCAGATTGGAACTAACTTAGTATCTGATGCTTTCCTTCATTGGCTGGCATTGTACCACCTGAGCCATACCTCTAACCCCTATATTATAATTTCAATGTTACATTAATTTTATGTGCACACAGGTATGCACGTGTGTTGGTAATGGGATTTGAATTCGGGGCCTCCATCTTTGTTGTTTTGCTCAGGACTGGGTTCTGCCACTTGAGCCACATCTCCACATCCAGTATTTGACTAGTTAACTGAAGATAAGAGTCACATGAAGTCTCAGGGTTTTTCTCTCCAAGCTGGCTTTGGACTAGAATCCTCATATCTTTGCCTCCTACGTTGCTAGGATTAAAAGCATGAACCACCAGTGTCTGACTTTTTTTTTTGTCAGTTGTAGGGCTTGAACTCTGGGCCTGGGTGCTGTCCCTCAGCTCTTCAGCTCAAGGCGAGTGCTCTACCACTTGAGCCACAGTACCTCTTTTGGTTTCCTGGTGGTTAATTGGAGATAGGAGTCTCAAGGACATTCATGCCCAGACTAGCTTTGACCAAGATCCTCAGATCTCAGCCTCCTAGGATTACAGGCATGAGCCAGTGGCTCCTGGCTTGACATTTTTTAGTCTTTATTTATTTATTTATTTATTTATTTTTGTGCCAGTTCTGGGATTTGAACTCTGGTCTGAGCCCTGTCCCTGATTTTTTTTTTTCTTTCTTCTCAAAGCTAGCACTCTACCACTTGAGCCACAGCTCTTTTTCTGACTTTTTTTGGTTGGCTAATTGAAGATAAGAGTCTCATAAATTTTCCTGCCTGGTGTTGCTTGAAACCATGATACTTAGATCTCAACCTTCCAAGTACCTAGGATTACAGGTGTGAGCCACTGGTACCTAGCCTGTTCATTATTATTTTTATTATTATTATTATTATTTTATTTTGGTCCGGTCATGAGGCCTGAACTCTGGGCCGGGGCGCTGTCCCTCAGCTCTTCAGCTCAAGGCTAGCACTCTACCACTTGAGCCACAGCGCCACTTCCAGCTTTTTTCTTATGTGGTGCTGAGGAATCGAACCCAGGGCCTCAGGCATGCAAGGCAAGCACTCTACCACTGAGCCACCTTCCCAGCCCCTTTTTATTATTTTTTTGAGATAGGACCTTGCCTTTTAGCTCAGGCTGGCCTGCAAGTTTAGTTCATCCTGCCATAGCTTCTAAGAGCTGAGAATACAAGTGCATGCCAACATGTCCAGATGGTGTTCAGTTTTAAACAGCGTTAAGCCAGGCACTGGTGGCTCACACCTGTAATCCTAGCTCCTCAGGAGACTGAGATCTCAGGATCTCGATTCAAAGCCAGCCCAGGCAGGAAAGGTCTTGAGACTCTTATTTCCAATAAACCACTCAGAAAACTGGAAGTGATGCTGTGGTAGAGCAAGTGGTAGAGCACTAGCCTTGAGGTAAAGAGCTGAGGGACAGCGCCCAGGCCCAGAGGTCAAGCCCTACGACCGACAAAAAACAAAACAAACAAAAAGGCCACCAGTGGATAATGACACATCTACAATCTGAACATCTGGGAGACAGAGGCTGATGGAGAATTTGAGGCCAGCCTGGGCTAACATAGTGAGTCCATTTGAAAACAAAGTCAAAGAAAGCTCAGCAACAACAAAACAACAAAAACTGATTAAACGTTAAAAAACAGAACAACCATGAACAAAAACCAAGCACAGATTAGTACGTTGGCACTTGACAAAAGCCTGGCAGTTGTTGTCAAAGATGTAGGCGGCTAGTGGAATTTGCACCAATTGCCATGGGATGCTATGGGGAGTGGAAGACCATGCAGCTTTGCCTAGTAAAGCCACATGTGTGCCCAGCATACAACACCTCAACTTTTACATGTATGCCAGGGAATCTAGCTTATGTGAGTAAGAAAATTCTATGTAATTAAATATAATAGGAATTTTACATAATAGTATTTTTCTCAGATGAAAACTGGAATCACAAGTCCATGTCAGCAGTGGAATGGAAAATTAAGCCATGCCACATTCAAATAATAGAATTCTGTATAGCAGTGCCAGTCATTACTATAGTGAGATGTTTCTGTTTTCATAGGTTTTTTTTTTTGGTCCGGTCGTGGGGCCTGCACTCTGGGCCTGGGCGCTGTTCCTCAGCTCTTCAGCTCAAGGCTAGCGTTCTACCACTTGAGCCACAGAGCCACTTCCGGCTTTTTCCTTTTTGCTTATGTGGTGCTGAGGAATCGAACCCAGGGCCTCATGCATGCAAGGCAAGCACTCTACCACTGAGCTACCTTCCCAGCCCTGTTTTCATAGGTTTTAATAACAACTTTTGAATTAAAAAATCAGGGAGAGGGACTGGGAAGGTGGCTCAGCGGTAGATTGCTTGCCTCTCATGCATGAGGCTCTGGCTTTGATTCCTCAGCACCATATAAACAGAAAAGACTGGAAGTGGCATTGTGGCTCAAGTGGTAGAGTGCTAGCCTTAAGCTGAAGAGCTCAGGGACAGTGCCCAGGACTAGAGTTCAAGCCCTACAACTGACCAAAAAACAAAACAAAAATAATCACAGAGAGGAATAGACAGTGTAGCTTTTATTGAGATCAGATCTGATCAATTTGAAACTGTTTGGTGGACTTGCATGTATGCTTATTAGAACTGTAGCCAGGGGAGTAATTTTACACAAAACTAAGGATAATTAACTTCTTAAGGTAGTGGTGAGGTTCTATATTGTTGGGTAGTGGATTCAGGAGTGTCTTGCCTCTTTACAGCAACTTGGTGATTTTTGTGTAACATATTATAATTTAAAAAATTGTCACTGGCTCTGGTGGCTTACGCCTGTAATCCTAGCTACTCAGGAGGCTGAGATTTGAGGATCACGGTTCAAAGCTAGCCCAGGCAGGAAAGTCTGAAACTCTTACCTCCAGTTAACCACCAGAAAACTGGACATAGTGCTGTGGCTCAAGTGGTAGAGTGCTAGCCTTGAGCTGAAGAGCTGGAGGACAGCACCCAGGCCCAGGCCCAGAGTTCAGGCCCCACAACTGACAAAAAAAAAAGAAACTGAAGGAAAATGAAAAGATTTTTTTCTTTGTTGTTGTTGTTGGTTGTGGGGCCTGGGTCTGGGCGCAGTCTCTCAGCTCTTCAGCTCAAGGCTAGCGCTCTACCACTTGAGCCACAGTGAGCACTCTCGGCTTTTTCTGCTTATGTGGTGCTGAGGAGTCGAACCCAGGGCCTCAGGCATGCAAGGCAAGCGCTCTACCACTGAGCCACCTTCCCAGCCCTCCTTCAGTTTCTTTTTATATTTTGAAATATTACTAACATTTCTCTTGATGAGTATTTTTACTTTTACAAAAAATTTGAACAAATGTTGAATTACTTAATTCAGCCTTGATGATTTTTATTTTTCCTGGCAGCTAGCATTGGATATGTGGAGGAAATTGATGGTTGAACCTCTTCAGACCATCCTTATCCGAATGCTGCTTCGAGAAATTAAAAAGTGAGTCTTGGTATTTATCTTTTCTAAGTTTGTTCTACTTGGCTGTTTGATACAAAGTTTAAAAATAATACATAGTTAATATGGCTACTGAATGGACTTAAGCCTTATTTATTGTAATGAGTAGATTGTAATGAATAAAACAACCTCATGCCACTCTTAAAGTTTTTTGAATCTTTTTCTTTAATTTTGGCATGTTTTTGGCTCTTCACACATAGCTTAATATTCATAGTAAAGAAATAGGTTTCTGAAGGAAACAACTTCAGTCCTGAAACCTCTAATGTATTCAAGAAGTGAGATTGCTATGTTTGGATACATCCTCTCAGTTTAAGACCCAATGATGATTAACTATTTAGGAAAACACTTTCTACTAGTTACTTGATGTTTATTAGCTTGAACTTTAGACTCATTGTCTTGTCTTTGATTGGGGAGGTTATCATTGGAGAATTGTTAGTCATGGCTCAGAAAGATTGACTCTTCGTGTAATTGCTGTGTGACGATGATCGGGCATATGACAGTTTTCCTGTGAAGTCCCAGAACATGTTTGGATCAGTTCTTAGAATGTCTGGTAAAACCCTGTCCTCCCCCTGAAGCCATCCTCATTCTAGGAATTCATACTGTACCACTTGAGCCATATCTCCAGTCTTCATATAGGGCTTATCTAGAGAATTATTGCAGTGTGCCAAATGCCACTCCTTGGGGATGTGCTTCCTTCAGCAGGTCAGATGTGGAGAGGCTTTTAACATGAGAGGTAATTTGTCACGTCTTAATACAGGACTCCATGTAGGAAGGAATTAAGCATATACACAGTATAAATAGAACTGATAAGAAACTTTTTTTTTTCCCTTTGGGTGTCGTGGGCCTGAACTCTGGGCCTGGGCACTCAGCTCTTCAGCTCAAGGCAAGCGCTCTACCGCTGAGCCAGCTTCCCAGGTGCTTGCACCTCTTAATGGACACCATCCTCTTGGATCTGCAGTTAGGCTGAACACATTCAAGCCTCAGCAGGATGTTCTTGGTGGTTTTAGCCTTCTTTTGGATTATTGGTTTTGCCCACCATAGCCGCTATGCTTCCCATCCTAATACCTCTTCCCTTGGGCATACAGGGAATCTTTGTCTACTTTTTTTTTTTTTTTTTTTTGGGTCCGGTCGTGAGGCCTGAACTCTGGGCCTGGGTGCTGTCCCTCAGCTCTTCAGCTCAAGGCTAGCACTCTTACCACTTGAGCCACAGCGCCACTTCTGGCTTTTTTTTCTTTTTGCTTATGTGGTGCTGAGGAATCGAACCCAGGGCCTCAGGCATGCAAGGCAAGCGCTCTACCACTGAGCCACCTTCCCAGCCCATCTTTGTCTTTTTGTACTGATCAATTAATGAGGCTGGTGCTTACCACACTTCTTATAGCAAGTCCTGGTTTGGGGTACATTGACTATTTTTGAGGTAGAGCTGTCAAGTGACTCAGGGCACACATGATATGTGCCTCACATCACCCTGAGGAAAAGCCATTTTACTTTTTAAGACCTTTAGTGTTTTTTTTAAATTATTGTGGGAGATGAATGAAATTCATTAAATAGAAGAAAGTAGGTATATTGCCAGTTGCAATGAAAAAGGAATCCCTTATATACTATTGGAACACTTGTTTGTTACATTAAATGGATTCAAAATATTCTATATAATAACTTTCTAATGTTCTTTGGCCAAAAATTATAATGAAGTTCTTTCTTTCTCTCTGAATTTGTAACAATATGAAATATGTTCCTGTTACTATTTTTTGAGGGCTTTTGTGTGTGTGTGTGTGTGTAATTATTTAAGGTGTTTATTATAAAATGAAATGAAGCCTAGCTACTCAGGAGGCTGAAATCTGAGGATCATGGTTCAAAGTCAGCCTGGGCAGGAAACCCTGTGAGACTCTTATCTCCAATTAATCACTCAGAAAACTGGAAGTAGCATTGTAGCTCAAGTGGTAGAGTGCTCACCTTGAGGTGAAGAGCTGAGGGACAGTGCCCAGGCCCAGAGTTCAAGCCCCACAACCAATAACAACAACAAAAAAGAAGGCCATACAATAGTAATGTAGAGCATAATGAATTATTGTAAGGAGAATACTGCTACATCTACTATCCTGGTCAAGAAGTAGAATCATTCCAGCCATGCTACAACTTCTCTCCATCCTTTCTTCAAATGTACCCTTTAATTAGTCTGATTTTTACGGTAGCTGTTTTGTTTTGTTTTGAGTAAGTATTATTACCTACAAGTACATTCCTAGGTTTTGTGGTTTAGACTTACTGATTTTTTTCAAAAACAAAAAACCCAAAATATCCCTTTAAGATCTTCTATTCAACAGGTTTCCTTTCTGTCCCTTTTCCCCATTGTAATTGTTGGTACCTTCTGACTTTCCTACCACCTCTGTTTTGCTGATTGCAAATGTGAGGCATAGCTTAATGTATTTCTTTGTGCTGTGTTTTCTGGAGTTTGAAGGCTTTTTCAGACTCAGATTTCATCCTTCTTGCAAGATTATAAATGATGTTATGTTCTCCTGTAATACCAGATTTTTCAGTCTTTATTCTTCTTTCCTTCTGTTTTTCCTATCTCCTTTCCACCCGTTCTCCTAGTGTTTTGCCTATGCTAGGCATGTTTTTGTTACTTTTCATGTTAATAGCCATTGATGCTCAATCCTAACATCAACTGACTCTTCTTCTTCTTCTTTTTTTTTGCCAGTCCTGGGCTTTGCACTGAACTCTGAGCTTAAGTGCTGTCCTTAAACCTTTTTGCTAAATGTTAGCACTCTACCACTTGAGCCACAGTTCCACTTTGGGCTTTTTGGTGATAGTCTCATGGACATACTTGACTAGGCTGGTTTCTAACCGTGATCCTCAGAGCTCAGCCTCCTGAGTAGCTAGGATTACTGGCATGAGACCAGTACCTAGCATCAAGTGACTTTTGAGGTCTATAAAATGGTATAAAATTATAATCCTATTTTTTTGCCCATTCTTGGGCTTGAACTCAGGGCTTGGACACTGTCCCCGAGCTTCTTTTGCTCAAGGCTAGCACTCTACCACTTGACCCACAGCACCACTTTCGGCTTTTTCTGTTTATGTGGTACTGAAGAATAGAACCCAGAGCTTCATGAATGCTAGGCAAACACTCTACCACTAAGCTACATTCCCAGCCCAAGTCTTGGGCTTTAAACTAGGAGTCTGGGCACTGTTCATGAGGCAAACAGTCTACCACTAAGCCACATTCCCAGCCTAATCCTGTCATTTTACCACTTAGATATAAACAGATACCAATGCCCTCATCTACTATTACAAGTGGTAAAGTGCATCTAAGAAAGGAAAAGCACCTGCTTATTTCATTTCTCTTCTTAGACTTACACATATTTGGTAAGCTGCTTTTGATTTTAAGTCTTATTTGTTATGGCTTACATTGTTTCTCTGTGGCTCATTGGGGCCAGAGTCTTTCTGATGTGATCCTACTCATGTCTGATAGTTGTCTTGCTATCTGGTAGGTCAGGATGTTTCACACATATCTTGGACATTTTCTTCCATGGACCCGCTATCATCTTCTCAGTAAAAGAAAATTAGTCTAAGGCCAGGTGCTGGTGGCTCACACCTGTAATCCTAGCTACTCAGGAGGCTGAGATCTGAGGATCACGGTTTCAAAGCCAGCCTAGGCAGGGAAAGTGTGTGAGACTCTTATCTCCTACCTAGAAAACCGTAAGTGGCACTGTGGCTCAAGTTTTGAGCTGAAGAGCTGAGGGACAGCGCCCAGGCCTAGAATTCAAGTCTCACATCAACAAAAAAAAAAAAAAAAAGAAAATTAGTCTAAATATTCAAGTGATAGAAAATGTATTCTTAAAGAACTGAATATTCCAGGATCTTTTCTCTTTTCATAGTATTTCCCCTTTCTACAAGGTTATCTGTTAATATTCCACACTTTTTCTTATGAATTTTTAATTTCTTTTAGAAACTGCTAATATTTCTTTTTTTTTTTTTTTTTTGGGTCCGTTGTGGGGCTTGAACTCTGGGCCTGGGTGCTGTCCCTGCACTTTTCAGCTCAAGGCAGGCGCTCTACCACTTGAGCCACAGAGCCACTTCTGGTTTTCTAGTGATTTTTTATTGGAGATCAGAGTCTCATGGACTTTTCTGCCCGAGCTGGCTTTGAACCGTGGTCCTCAGATCTCAGCCTCCTAAGTAGCTAGGATTATAGGCATGAACCACCGGTGCCCAGCAGAAACTGCTAATATTTGTAATACTTGATATGGTTACATCTTCTGTGTGTGTGTGTGTGTGTGTGTGTGTGTGTGTGTGTGTGTGTGTGTGTGTATTCATACTTGGGCTTGGACTCAGGATCTGGACTCTGTCTCTTAGCTACTCTCAAGGCTACTCTTCTACGACTTGAGCCACAGCTTCACTTCTGGCTTATTTTTGGATAGTTATTTGGAAATTATATTCTTTTTTTTTTTTTAAATTTAATTTTATTTGTGAACATACTGTATAGAGGGGTTACAATTACATGGGCAGGATAATGCGTATATTTCTTACCAAGCATTGCAGCCTCCTCCTTTGGTTTACCCTTCACATCCCTTCCCAGCCTCCCCCCTCCCCCCTGGAAATTCTTATAGACGTTCCTGCCTGGGCTGGCTCTGAGTAGCTAGAATTATAAGCTTGAGCCATCAGTGCCCAGCTGGTTACATCTTATTTTATTAGTTTTTCTCTTAGTGATAGGTGTTAGTGTGTTTCCCATTTCACCCCTAGTACAGCTCTTGCTTCTGTTGGGCACCATTCAGGAATTTGAGAACAGAGTATGTCTATTTAGAACATTGTCAGCTTGCCCTATTCTTCTCAAGTAAGTACCTGCTTAATCACCCATACTTGATACTACAGATTTCACCAATCTAAGAAGAAAATTGTTCCATGATTTCTTCGTGCTATTTTTTTTGATGCAGAAATGGAGAACCCAGCTGCTATCTCAGACAGCTACTCCCTTCCCCCACAACAGTGTCTAGGCATAGAGGCTTCCCATTCCTTCTGGAGCAACACTGTCTGGTTCAGTGTGAGCAGATAGCATTCTAGCTCTATGCGCAGCTACAGAGACCTGCTAGTTCTCCTGAGCACTAGCTTTGTTCGAGTATATGCCACTTCTTGCCTTTCTCCTCCCCTTTTTTCTTACTCTCTCATCATAGTAGTTCTTTTCCTTGTACATTTGGTCTGCAGTTGATATTTGTTCTCTAATCCTCTTTCCATCTTTTCCCCAATTTTGGCAAGTCTAAAGGCTAATAGTAACAATCGAAAGTTAATGTCTTCGGTATTTTGGTGAATTAATCACCTTGAATAGTATAAATACTTTAACAGTCAATTCTCTCAATCCATAAATACAGGATGTCTTTTCAGTTTTTGTGTTCAAATTTCTTTCATAAATGTGTCCTATCATTTTCATTACAGATGTCTTTTACCTCTATGGTAAAGTTATTCCTAGGTATTTTATTTTTAAAGCTATTGTAAAAATGGGATTGTGTTCTTGATTTCTCATTTAGGTAATTCATTATTATCATACAACAATACTACTGAAACATGTTAATTTTGTATCCTATAAGTTTGCTGATTTCCAATTGAATTGCTGAATTGCTCCTGTTCCCTCTCCTTCCTTCAGCACTGGAGTCTGTAACTGGAGTCTGTAACCCTGCTAAGAAAACACTGTACCACTTGTCACATCCCTGCTCGTGATTTCTTCTACTTTTTTTTTTTTAATCCAAATTTGGATGCCCTTTATTTCATTCCCTGGTTGGCACTTCTAATAAGTGGTAGAGTAAGCATTTTTATTTTGTTCCAGATCCTTTTTTTTTTTTTTTTTGGTCGGTTGTGGGGCCTGAACTCTAGGCCTGGGTGCTGTCCCTCAGCTCTTCAGCTCAAGGCTAGCGCTCTACCACTTGAGCCACAGCACCACTTCTGGCTTTTTCTGCTTATGTGGTGCTGAGGAATCAAACCCAGGGCCTCATGCATGCAAGGCAAGGACTCTACCACTGAGCCACCGTCCCAGCCCTTGTTTCAGATCCTAAGAGTAGAAGCTTTCAGCTTTGCCTCATTCATTATAATGATACTTGTTGGCTCATTATAAGGGACTTTCACTATGATTGTTTTTGTGCCAGTACTGGGGCTTAAATTCAAGGCCTCACATTCTTGCTTGGCCTCACATTCTTCCTCTGTCACTTCGAGCCAAACTTCCACCTCCACTTCCCTTTTGTCATGTTGAGGTGGTGAAATTCAAGTATCCTTTGATGAGCTCACATCCACCTTTTTTTTTTTTCTTTTTTGTCCATCTTGGGGCTTGAAATCAGGGCCTGGGCGCTTTCCCTGAGCTCTTTTGCACAAAGCTAGTGCTCTACCACTTGGAGCCACACTTCTACTTCCAGTTTTCTGGTGGTTAATTGGAGATAAGAGTCTCATGGATTTTCTGCCCAGGCTGGCTTTGAACTATGATTCTCAGATCTCAGCCTTCTGAGTAGCTAGGATTACAGGCGTAAGCCACCAGCTCCTGGCACATATAGTTAGTTATTAAACTTTAAAAGAACTATCACTTTATTAATGCTATACTTTTACAAACCTTTTAACTCTTGAAATTGTTTCTGATAAGTTAACTGGGACATAAATTGTTTTGAAGTTTCTTGCCTGTAGGATTAATTCAGTGATAAATTAAACAACCATAAAGGGTCATTCTTTGGTATTTTTCTGTAGATAGTTGTGTTCTAAAGAGTATTTTGTGTTGTACTTTCTTTTAGTGACCGTGGCGGAGAAGACCCAAACCAGAAAGTAATCCATGGGGTTATTAACTCCTTTGTTCATGTTGAACAGTATAAGAAAAAATTTCCCTTAAAGGTAAAAAGCCTTCTTCCTTTAAAAACCACAAAAAAACCCAAACTTTTACTTTCTTAAACTGCTTGTCTATTTTTGTCCTAACAATTTTGATTGATTTATTCAGTTTTATCAGGAAATCTTTGAGTCTCCCTTTCTGATTGAAACAGGAGAGTATTATAAACAAGAAGCTTCAAATTTGTTACAAGAATCAAATTGCTCACAGTATATGGAAAAGGTAAGACATCAAACATTGTCGTATATTCATCTATTATGTCTAGCAAGATTTTCTTTAACAAAGTTGTCTTAGTTAATTTTGAGAGTATTTTTGGTAGAAAGGGTTCTGTTTATTTGCTCTTTAGCTCTGAAATAAAGTTAACATACATTGATTGATAAATCTATTGATATATCATTGCTCATATGATAGCATTTTCTTGAGAAAAGTTCAACTTTAGTTTTCTGCATGGTTTATATATACTTTTTGAGAAGACATATAATCTAGCTTATTTGTCCCTAAAGTTAAGTAGCGTATGTGCATGTGCTTGACAAAATAGTAACTGGATTTTGTATTTAGCGATTTGCTTAGGAAATCAGGTAAGTATTGAAGCTATGTGTTTGGATTTTTGTCTTTAAAGCAGAAGGAGCCACAAGTGGTAGAGTTCTGGCCTTGAGCAAAAAAAGCTCAGGGACAGTGCCCAGGCCCTGAGTTTAAGCCCCAGGACTGGCAAAAAAATAAATAAAAATAGAAGTAGAAGGAGCCAGTGCTGGTGGCTCACACCTATAATCCCAGGCACTCAGGAGGATGGTGGTTTGAATCCAGCCTGGGCAGAAAAGTCCCCATAAGACTCTTATTTCCAATTAACCACTCAAAAATTGGAGCTGGAGCTGTGGCTCAAAGTGGCAAAGTGCTAGCCTTGAGCAAAAGAGCTTAGGGACAGCACCCAGACCCTGAGTTCAAGCCCCACAACTGCCAAAAAAAAGTAGAAGGAAAAATGAGAGGGTAAATAAGATAATTCTAGATACTCAGATAAATCAACCTTGGATCTTCTAAGGTTTTGGAAAGCTGAGTAATACTTAAACTGAAACTTTAATTTTGATCACTATACTTTATAGTGTGTATGGGTTTTTCTTAGTAAAAATTATGTCATATGTTTTCTTTTTCTTTCTTTTATTTTTATTTTTTTGGTCGGTCATGGGTTTGAACTCTGAGCCTGGGTGCTGTCCCTCAGCTCTTCAGCTCAAGGTTAGCACTCTACCACTTGAGCTACAGTGCCACTTCTGGTTTTCTGGTAGTTTATTGGAGATAATTGTTTCACAGCTTTTCCTGCCTGGGCTGGCTTTGAATTGTGATCCTCAGATCTCAGCCTCCTGAGTAGCTAGGATTACAGTTGTGAGCCACTGGCACCCAGCTTTCTTTTCTCTTCTCTTCTCTTCTCTTCTCTTCTCTTCTCTTCTCTTCTCTTCTCTTCTCTTCTCTTCTCTTCTCTTCTCACCTCTTCGTTTCCTTCCTTCCTTCTTTTCTTTTTCTTTTTTTCTTTTTTCTTTTTTTGTGCTGGTCCTGGGGCCACAGCTCCATTTCCAGCGTTTTGGGGTTTAATTGGAGGTAAGAGTCTCTTGAACTTTCTACTGGAGCTGGCTTCAAACTGTGATCCTCAGATCTCAGCCTTCTGAATAGCTAGGATTACAGTTGTGAGCCACTGGAACCTGCACATCAGATTTTTTATTTTATTTTATTTTATTTTATTGCCAGTTGTGGGGCCTGAACTCTGGGCCTGGGCACTGTCCCTCAGCTCTTCAGCTCAAGGCTGGTTCTCTACTACTTGAGCCACAGTGCCACTTCCAGCTTTTTCTGCTATGTGGTGCTGAGGAATCGAACCCAGGGCCTCATGCATGCAAGGCAAGCACTTTACCACTGAGCCATCTTCCCAGCCCACATCAGATTTTTTAAATAGGCTTTTCATCCAAGTGTTAAGGGTTCAAACATTTTATTTTTTATTTTTTTGTCGGTTGTGGGGCTTGAACTCTGGGCCTGAGTGCTGTCCCTCAGCTCTTCAGCTCAAGGCCAGCGCTCTACCACTTGAGCCTACAGCGCCACTTCCGGTTTTCTGTTGGTTTATTGGAGATAGGAGTCTCACGGTCTTTCCTGCCCGGGCTGGCTTTGAACCGCGATCCTCAGATCTCAGCCTCCTGAGTAGCTAGGATTACAGGTGTGAGCCACCAGAAGCCTGGCTTCAAACATTTTATTATCAGATACTTTGTTAGTTAATTTAATCAAGAAGATATGATAAGGGCTGGGAAGTTGGCTCAGTGGTAGAGCGCTTGCCTTGCATGCATGAGGCCCTGGGTTTGATTCCTCAGTACCACCTAAGCAAAAAGAAAAAAGCTGGAAGTGGCGCTGTGGCTCAAGTGGTAGAGCGCTAGCCTTGAGCTGAAGAGCTGAGGGACGGCGCCCAAGCCCAGAGTTCAGGCCCCACAACCAGACTCCTTCCCCCCAAAAAACCCAAAACAAACAAAGAAGATATGATAATATTGTAAATGGGCTAGCTGTCCTATAGTTCCCATAGAACATAGGTCAGGAATCCTCAATGCTTCCCAGGTGCTGTTGCTTAGTCCTCAAAGTCCATTTTCAGAAATCCATTTCCTGCCTTATCACTCCATAGTTCTGGATGGTGTCAAATCATCTGAAACCTTTTCCCTATCCATTAAGTACAGGCTACACTAAGTCATTGGTTCTTAGCACTTAGGTTTCATTTAATTTTCAGACCTTATTAAAGTTTCTAGATCTAATCCTAAAGTTTACGTACAGATTGTTCATGGTACATACAGAGCTTGTATGTATATCAGTGACCAAAAAGATTGTTGGCAAATGGTGGAAGCACTCTAGATGTTTTAGCTCAGTGTAGAATAGTGAACCTGCTTTATTCGTTGATTTATTACATGCCAAATATAGTAAAATAAAGTACTAATAATAAATAAATTTTGAAAACAAAAATTCCCATTCTTCCATGGCCCAGTTGGTGCAGAGAAACTCTATCCTAAGTTATCGTCAGTTATGTTTGAATCATTATTGATTTCTTCAGTGTTACCCTGCCCTTCATTTTGTGAAAACCTGCCCCCTAGGAAGCAAATGGTACCCAAAAAGCACATGAAAGTTATCACAATCCTCTCAAGCCAAAAGGAGTACATAGTATGCTTAATTAAAATAATAAAGTGAAAATGTAAGACTTATTGAAAGGGAGTATGTCTTTTGTTGAAGTGGGGTATGGGACTAATGAGTCAAGCATCCATTGGTGATAAAGAACATGAAATAAGGCCTACTCTTTTTTGATGAGCAATATTAATTGGAACAGCTGCATTTTTTTTTTTTCTTGGTCGGTCATGGGGCTTGAACTCTGGGCCTGGACGCTGTCCCTCGGCTCTTTAGCTCAAGGCTAGCGCTCTATTGCTTCAGCCACAGCACCACTTCCGGCTTTTTCTATTTATGTGGTGCTGAGGAATCAAACTCAGGGTCTCATGCATGCAAGGCAAGCACTCTACACCAAGCCACCTTCCCAGTCCCCCCCCCCCCCCTTTTTTTTTTTTTTTTTTTTTTTTTACAATAATGAAGCCTACTCCATGTTAATTGAAGTTGTGGATACAGAGATGCCCAGTACTACAGTGTTAGATAAATTTGGGTAATCTAAAGTCCTGAATTCTGCATCTTGAGCATTTGTGGTTTTTTTTCTCAGTGGTAGTATCCTTGGGACTATATACCCACTGATAACAAGGGCCTACTCTATATGTAAAGGTGCATGATAACAACATGGATGAACCTTAAAAATGTTCATTGAAAATAGCCATACTAAAAACAAACATTCTATGATTCCACTTACATGAACTATTAGGCAAATTCATAGAGGCAGAAGATGGGCTAGATGGGCTAGAGGTTTTCATGGGGAGAGGGTGTGGGTTAGAGTTTCTGTTTGGCATGAGGCGGAAAAGTTTTTAAAATATAAAGGATGGAGGCAAACACTGAACGTAGTTAATGCCAATGAATTTCACACTGAAAGGTATTTAAGGAACCCTAGAAATTTTAATTTGCCACCTTAAGTGTATACCTTTCAATGTGAAATTCCATTTAAGGTGGCAAATTAAAAATTTCTAGGGTTCCTTAATTGTCTTGAGATGAAGTCTTTTGTAGCCCAGGCTGACCTTGAACTCAAAACCTGAGAGCTGAAATTACAGACCTGTGCAATATATATATTTTTATAGTGTGATTTTTACATTATTAATAATGTAACATCATAAGCATTGAATTATATATTGTAAATTGGTAGATGTGTACAAGCTGTGTTAAGCTGCTAACAAAGGCAACGGCCATTGAACTAAATTATATTCAGGAAGTCTTTTTTTTAAACAGAAAACAGTGGTGAACCATGTATACTTCATGTTAGGAACCTAAAATTCTTAGTATTAATATAACCTTCCTACTTTCCTTTTTGTTTCTCTTCTTGAGTTTTGGCCTTCCCTGCCACCTGCCAATGGTTTTATAGGTATTTCAAGACTGGCGTTAAGGCAGTCCAGCGTTGCCTACCATTTTCATGGCTGTGTACTTCCTTACCTAAATGATTATTGTGCTTTTCCTTCTGTCATTTTCCTTTACTTACTGTCACATATAATAATTCCTATTGCATTTAGTCAAAATATGTACTTATAATATGCTCTGTATGGGACTGGGAAGGTGGCTCAGTGGTAGAGCGCTTGCCTTGCATGCCTTAGGCCCTGGGTTCGATTCTTCAGCACCACCACATAAGCAAAAAGAAAAAAGCCAGAAGGGGTGCTGTGGCTCAAGTGGTAGAGCGCTAGCCTTGAGCTCAAGAGCTGAGGGACAGTTTCCAGGGCCAGAGTTCAGGCCCCACGACCGGACCTCCCCCCCCCCCCAAAAAAAAAAAAATGCTCTGTATGATTGTTAAACTTCTGTTAAGGGCCATTTTAATTTTTCAGATGAAACATGGTGAATATCTAGACATTTAATTTCTATGACTTCCTTCAACACTGAGCATTCCTTGTAGGGTAACAAGATGGCACAGAAAAGACAGGAAAGTGTTCTCTTCCTCAGCCTCCTTTTCCTTAGGACATTTCCAAGAATGATGATCCCCTCAAAATATCACAATTTCCTGGCCCAACAAGCAGTAGTGTCCAAAGGGTCACATGTACATTGTTTCTAGGGACCAACTTTAACAGAGGTCTTGATTGGTATGTGTGATTGAATATACTTCAACTTTAAAAAACTTTTAAACTCAAATCTTTAGTGTGATAGTTAAGTATAATGCATTTACTGTTTTTATTCCCTTTTTACAAGAAGAGAAATCAAGGTAAAATAGACATGTTAATTTTGTTAATGTAATCAACTTGATGTAAGTTTTCTGGTTTTTCATAAACTTCACTGGCTTTTCTGGTTGCATGGTAGGTTGTCTGATATAATAGAGGATTAACACTGGCAAATGAAGGCAGTTCTTATTTATAAAATTGGTTGATAGCTAGTAGCTTAAGTTTATAAAAAGGTGAATAAGGGCTGGGAAGGTGGCTCAGTGGTAGAGCGCTTGCCTTGCATGCCTGAGGCCCTGGGTTCGATTCCTTAGCACCACATAAGCAAAAAGAAAAAAGCCAGAAGTGGCACTGTGGCTCAAGTAGTAGAGTGCTAGCCTTGAGCTGAAGAGCTGAGGGACAGTGCCCAGGCCCAGAGTTCAGGCCCCACGACTGGACCCAAAAAAAAAAAAAGTGAATAATTTGTAGATTGTCAGTTTAACAACGTTCTATAATTTGTTACCTTTGCTGTATTTTAATAGGCATTAAAATTTGGCTACTTGGTGTACTTACTGATTTTACACTTTTCCTCTCAGAAAAACTTAGTAGTTCATGAATGTAAGAATGTATTTCTTTAGGTTCTAGGTAGATTAAAAGATGAAGAAATTCGATGTCGAAAATACTTAAATCCAAGTTCATATACTAAAGTGATCCATGAATGTCAACAACGAATGGTAGCAGACCACTTACAGTTCTTACATGCGGAGTGTCATAATATCATTCGGCAAGAGAAAAAAAATGGTAAGCGATGCTAACATAAGTGTGACTCTAGTGTATTTTAAGAGATTATTCTGGATAAACATTTTCAAAGATGTGTTCTGATGGCACTTGAGCCACAGCACCACTTCCGGCTTTTTTCTTTTTGCTTATGTGGTGCTGAGGAATTGTACGAACCCAGGGCCTCAGGCATGCAAGGCAAGCGCTCTACCACTGAGCCACCTTCCCAGCCCCTGTCCATGAGATTCTTATCTCAAATAAACCCTCAGAAAACTGGAAGTGGTGCTGTGGCTCAAGTGGTAGAACGCTAGCCTTGAGATGAAGAGCTCAGGGACAGTGTCCAGGCCCAGAATTGAAGCCCCGCAGTGGACAAAAAATAGAAGAAAACAAGATTCTTGAAGGCAACATTGTTAGTGATTTTTTTTTTTTTTTTTTTTGGGCCCTGTCGTGGGGCCTGAAGTCTGGACCTGGGCGCTGTCTCTCAGCTCTTCAGCTCAAGGCTAGCGCTCTACCACTTGAGCCACAGTGCCACTTCCGGCTTTTTTCTTTTTGCTTATGTGGTGCTGAGGAATTGAACCCAGGGCCTCATGTATGCAAGGCAAGCCCTCTACCACTGAACCACCTTCCCAAGCCCATTGTTAGTGATTTATAGACTTAGCCTAGGGCAGTTTTAATTTGCCCCAGCTTGTATCTTGGTCTTTTCAGACTAAGTTCAATGAAGATGAAGAGATGCTGGTACAAGAACAGGCAGATAGGCCAGTGAAATAAAATAGAGTCTAGAAGTGGCCTGTACACGTGTAACACTTGTTAAAGACCAGAGTGGCCCTGTAGGGCAGTGTATGTAAGTCTTCGAACACAGTTCTGAGTCCATTTGGGGGAAAAAAAAAAAAGAGAAGACATTCAGTCTTCATCTTAGATACCATATCTGTCTGTCTTGTCTGTGATACTGAGGCCTGAACTCATGTCCTGAGTTTGCTTTCAGGCAAGTGCTTTACCATTTAATGAATGCAATTCATCACCAATAATGTGGGTCTTGTGACCTAAATGTAAAGGTAAAATATTAACATTGAGGAAAGTTTCTTCCTAACCTTAAAGTAGGGGAAGATATTTTAAGTAGAGTACAGAAAATACCACTGGACCAGATTGGTCCAATGTTCTATGTTAAAATGAAAAATGTGTGGCTTTTTTTGTTTTTGTTTTGGTTGGTTGTGGGGCCTGAACTCTGGGCCTGGGCGATGTTCCCCAGCTGTTCAGCTCTAGGCTAGCGCTCCACCACCACTTGAGCCAGATTGCCACTTCTGGTTTTCTGAGTGGTTTATTCCTGCCCAGGCTGGCTTTGAATCACGATCCTCAGATCTCAGCCTCCTGAGTAGCTAGGATTACAGGCATGAGCCACTGATGCTGATACCATGAAACATTACAGGAAGGAATAGGAGAAACTCATAGGGCTCCTTAGCACAGGCTGAAATTTTCTTTTTCTTTTCTTTTCTTTTTTTTTTTTTTGTCGATAGTGGGGTCTGAACTCTGGGCCTGGGCACTGTGACTCAGTGTTTCAGCTCAAGGCTAAGCTCTGCTACCCGAGCCACAGCGCCATGTCCAACTTTTTCTGCTTATGTGGTGCTGAGGAATTGAACCTAGGACCTCATGCTTGCAAGGCAAGCACTCTACCACTGAGCCACCTTCCCAGCTCACATGTGGCTCTTTAAAGACCACAAGCATCACTAGAGTATCAAAAGTTATGGGGTGTGTATTGGGAAGAGGGAGCTAAAGATGTACTTAGTGATAGTGCTTTGCCTAGCATGCATAAGGCCTTAGTTTTGACCCAAGTACCAACAGAAAGAATATATATATGTATATATATATATATATATCTAGTATATATCTTCTAATACGTGTCCATATAATATATGTATATATGACTGAGAAGGACTTATATCCAGAATCTAAAATTGTCATAGTTTGAACAGATGCTGTAGAACACTGTAGAATAGATGATACCTAAATGCCAAATATACATGATATTAGAATATTTAAAAATCTCATTAAAATAGGGATATAAAGTCAGGCACCAGTGGCTCACGCCTAGTACTCAGGAGGCTGAGATCTGAGGATCCCCGTTCACCAGCCCAGGCAGGAAATTCCATGAGACTCTTACCTCTAACCACCAGAAAACTGGAAATGGCACTGTGGCTCAAGGGGTAGAGCACTAGTCTTGAGCTGAAGAGCTTTGGGACAGTGCCCAGGCCCAGAGTTCAAATCCCACAACTGATAAAAAAAAAAAAAGAATAGGGATATAAAGCTAGATGATTATGGTTCATGCCTATAATCCTAGCTACTCAGGAGGCTGAGAATAGGAGCATCAGGTATGGTTTGATACAACCACCTTAAAAACTGTCACCACCAAAGCAGGTAGATGGGTATTTTATGACCCAGAAAATAATTATTATTCACAAAGCCCCTATTCCTACCCCACATGTGTCTGCTTGGGTATAAAAAAGACATATATGGCTGTTCAAAGCAGCATTATTTGTAATAGCCACAAACTTGAAAGCAACACAAATGTCTCATAACAGTAAAATGGATGAAATACAGCATGCAAGTGAGTATTACAGAGGAGTGGAATTAAACTACAGCTAAATATGGCATACATAATCTTTGTAAAATATTGAGTAAAAGAAACCAGCGGGCTAGGAATATGGCTTAGCGGTAGAGTGCTTGCCTAGCATGCGTGAAGCCCTGGGTTTGATTGCTCAATCCCACATACACAGAAAAAGCCGGAAGTGGCACTGTAGCTCAAGTGGTAGAGCGCTAGCCTTGAACACAAAGAGGCTCAAGGACCATCAAGAACCAAAACAAGGGCTGGGGAGGTGGCTCAGTGGTAGAGTGCTTGCCTTGCACGCATGAGGCCCTGGGTTTGATTCCTCAGCGCCACATAAACAAAAAGAAAAAAGCCGGAAGTGGTGCTGTGGCTCGAGTGGTAGAACACTAGCCTTGAACTGAAGAGCTGAGGGATAGCGCCCAGGCCCAGAGTTCAGGCCCCACGATTGACAAAAAAATAAATAAATAAATAAAAAACAAAAAAAATAGCTATGTGATTATTTGTAGTTCAAGACAGGCAAAATCAATATGTGATTTAGTATCCACAATAGGGGTTACCTTTGCCAAGGAGCAGGAGGAATGGCTGGGAGGTACATGAAAGGAATTTCTGGGTGTAGTCTGCTGTGATTACATAGATGCCTTGTGTTCTTTATGGTAAGTTTTTGTTACCTCATGAATAAAATATTAATAATGGAATTTCTTTTTCCTTAGACATGGCAAATATGTATGTCTTACTTCGTGCTGTGTCCTCTGGCTTACCTCACATGATTCAGGAGCTGCAGAATCATATCCATGATGAGGGTCTCAGAGCAACCAGTACCCTTACTCAGGAAAATGTGAGTTCTATGTAAGGAATGAGAAAGGTTATCTGCTACTCAGATTTATCATAGTGTCCTTTTGGCTTTACTGTTTTATAAGATGAAAGAATATGTTTCATCGTATTAACAGATATGTCACTATTGAATGACATTGGCTGCTTCTAGCCATATTGATGTGTTTGTTCCCTTGGCATCTAACTTCACACAAAAATATGTTTTTAGTTTCTCTATAACTGTTTTTCTTGTAAGTGGAGATGAAAACAAATGTTGACTATTCACAGTGCCTCAAACAATAACCCTCACATACCTAATACCTTTCTTTGTCAATCACATCCCAAATCTTTTTTTTTTTTTTTTTTTTTGTCAGTCATGGGGCTTGAACTCATGGCCTTAGCTCTTCTGCTCAAGGCTAGCACTCTACCTTTTTTTTTTTTTTAATTTTTAATTTATTTTTTATTGTGAAAATACTGTACAGAGGGGTTACAATTACATGGGCAAGATAATGAGTACATTTCTTATCAAGCATTGTAGCCTCCTCCTTTGTTTCCCCTTCCCATCTCTTCCCATCCTCCCCCCTTCCCCTCCCTAGCACTCTATCTCTTGAGCCACAGCACCACATCTGGTTTTCTGCTGGTTAATTGGAGATAAGAATCTCATGGACTTTGCTGCCTGAACTGGCTTTGAAGTGCAATTCTCAGATCTCAGCCTCCTGAGTAGTAGTTAGGATTACAGGTGTAAGCCACTGGTGCCTAGCTTCATCCCAATCTTTTACCATGTTGCCTTTTTGCCTATTACTTGTGGTGGTTGCTATTAAGTTGGACAGAACATAAGATATTTCTGGCCCTATAATGCAGTGACCTTTTTTTTTTTTTGTCCTGGTGCTAGTTCTGGGGCTTGGTCTCAGGGAATTGTATTCAAACTTGGCTTTACAAAAAGCAGAAGGTCAAGGCTGGTGCTGTAGCACTTGCTTACTTGGAGATTAGAGTCTCACAGAGTTTTCTGTCTAAGCTGGCTTTGAACCCTGGTTCTCAGATCTCAGCACATTAAGTAGCTAGTATTACAGGTATGAGCCATGTCATATTGCTTAGGAGTGCTTATTAGGAAGAGATCAACTTGGTAGGAAGTTTCTCTTTAGCATTATTTACTGCTGAAGTGAATTATGCTTTCCAATTTTAGAGAATTTTTAGATTTTTCATATTTAGGTTTATTCTTCTATTTGCTAATCTGAGTTTTAGTTTATATGTATTTAGATCAATATCATGAATGACATTGGGCAAAGAAGCATAGCATTTAGTGTCAAAACTGGGAAAAGTACAGGTGTGTGCATTGGCAGAAGTTCAGTGATTTGCTTCTGCCCTAAGGCTGAACTTCTGCAGTTGTCTCCATTCAGAGGAAAAACTCACACATTTGCACTGGGCATTGTTTGCTGAGCTGTGTGTGGATTAACTCCCCAGCTCCAAGTATCTCATCACCAAAACAAGCTTACCACTCTCTACTCTTTCAGCAGCTAGTTATTTTGTAGGCAACTTTGCCTTACCTCTGTGATAGTGCTTTCCTGACGTTTACATATTCATCTGGAAAAGGTTTTAGATGTTAGGTTCTGGTGTTGAATGACAAACTAATGTGACCATCAAACTTTGAATTTTTTTTTTTTTTTTTTTGGTCAGTCATGGGGCTTGAACTCTGGGCCTGGGCACTGTCCCTGAACTCTTCATTTCAAGATGAGTGCTCTACCACTTGAGCCACGGCACCACTTCAGATTTTCTGGTGGTTAATTGGAGATAAGAGTCTCATGGACTTTCCTGCATGAGCTGGCTTTGAATCAGAGCTCAGCCTTCTGAGTAGCTAGGATTACAAGTGTGAGCCACCAGCTCCCAGCTAAACTTTTGAAATTTTTGAAACCATTTTAAGTAAAGACATTTCTAAAAGAAAGATAACTGAATATGAAATGTGATTTGGGGTAAAATTAACTCTTAAGTCTTTTCACATCTGACTTTATTCTTGAATTTCTTAAAATTGGTTTTTATACCTTGTATTTCTTATTTTTAGATGCCAACACTATTTGTGGAGTCAGTTTTGGAAGTACATGGTAAATTTGTTCAGTTAATCAACACTGTTTTGAATGGTGACCAGCATTTTATGAGTGCATTGGATAAGGTAACTTTTTAATACATAAGTATTATATATGTATGTAAAAGTCTCATTATTTTACTCTTAGACTTCATGAAATTATTAATAAAGTAAGTGAATTTGTAGTAAACTACCATCTTCTAAAATGCATGCACCATTTTAGTCTCTTTTAGTACTTCTTTTTTGAAAAATTATATTTAGGCTATATTCAGTAGTAATTGAAAGACAAATGTTTGACAGACTTGAAGAATCTTGATCTTCTACATAGAAAATGTACTTGCATGGTTCAGATTTCAGGACTGAGTTATAAAGAATTATATAGAATATGATAATTATGAATATAGTTAGATGAGTCTACTAGTCTACCACTAAAATTTATTATATGGGGTGGTGCATTAGATTTTCATCTGCATAACACCACTATGGTATCAGGCTTCAGACTGTGATCTTTTTTGTTGTTTTTTTTTTGGTCAGTGGTGGGGCTTGAACTCTGGGCCTGGACACTGTCCCTTCAGCTAAAGGCGAGTGCTCTACCACTTGAGCCACAGCACCACTTCTGGTTCTCTGGTGGTTAATTAGAGATGAGTCTCATGGGCTTTCTTGCCCAGGCTGGCTTTGAACTGTAATCCTCAGGTCTCAGTCTCCTGAGTAGCTAGGATTACAGGCTTAAGCTTATGCACCGGCACCCGGCATCAATCTGTGATCTTCTGGGCCTGTGGCTAGAGAATGTGGTAGAGGGAGGCTGTCCTTTTTGTGGTGTCTGGGGAAACGGGTAGGAGTGGGAGACGAGAGAAGAGCATGGTCTGGTTGCCCTTCCAGGCCCCAGCCCCAGCGACATAACTCTCCCCAACAGGGTCACAGGCTGACCAACCAAGCCTGCAGCACACGGCCTTTGGGGGCACTTAGGATCCAAAACAGATCAGGTGGTAATTTGGGACACACAGATTATAGCACCTCTGCTTTCCTCATGGCTAATTACTGACTTGCTTTCTTTTTAGGCCCTTACATCAGTTGTAAATTACAGAGAGCCCAAATCAGTTTGCAAAGCACCAGAACTGGTAAGTGATGGTTGCTTAAAAGTAATTGTTGGAGCCGGGCGTTGGTGGCTGAAGTCTGTAATCTTAGCTACTCATGGAAATGGTGCTGTGGCTCAAGTGGTAGAACATTCGCCTTGAGCTGAAGAGCTGAGGGACAGTGCCCAAGCCCAGAGTTCAAGCCCCACAACTGACCAAAAAAAAAAAAAAAAAAAAAAGCATGATGTAATCTTAGCTACTCAGGAGACTGAGATCTGAGGATCACAGTTCAAAGGCAAACCAGACAGGAAAGTCTTATCCCTAATTAGCTACCCCAAAAAACTGGAAATGAAGCTGTAGTTCAAGTGGTAGAACACTAGCCTTGAGCAGAGAAGCTTAGGGAAACACCTAGGCCCTGAGTCCATACCCCAGGACTGACACCTCAAAAAAAAAAAATTGGGGGAAGAACATGGAACAGCATTCAGTAATTTTTGTGGCATTTTTTAGAAGGTGATTACTTACGTCTTACATAAATTGGCATTTATGTAAGGAATGCAATAGGCCCATGTACCTTTCTTAAGAAATAATTAAAGGAGAAAATATTTTATAAAGATTGGGTTAAAAGTATGTGTTCTTGGAAATAATTTACATTTCCTTTCATGCTAATTTTGTTGCCTTTGAAATCTGAAAGAAAACCTCGAATTTGATCACTTTTGAAGGAAACTTGTTTATAAGTTTGATATAATATTTTCAAGTGTAATTGATCACCATCAAAATTATTATTTCTATCTGTTTATGGTAACTGTAATTCCCACACTTGTGAGGGTGAGCCAGGCTGATTACAAATTTGCTGTCAGCCTGGGCTACATAGTGAGATCCTCCCTCAAAATAATTATATTACTTACAACAACATTTTATTGGTCACCAAGGTGTTGAACTATTTCTAGTGTCTTTAAAAATTTAAAAGCTTTTTAAAAATTTACATTGGCATGTATATTTGATGTTATTATTTTTTATTTGGTAGTCCTGGAGCTTGAACTCAGGGCCTGGGCACTTTCTCTGTGCTCAAGGCTAGTTAGTGCTCTACCATTTGAGCCACAGCGCTACTTCTGGCTTTACCTGTTTATGTGGTACTGAGGAATTAAACCCAGGCTTCATTAATGCAAGGCAAGCACTCTACCATTAAGCCACATTCCCAGCCCCCAGTGTTAAAATTTTTGAAACAGACTAGGATAGCAAACCTCATCTTGTTGATCTTATTTTGTATTGTTGCCACTTTGCCTTCTTGGAAGTATGATGTGTCTAAAAGGGTTGTTTGTAAGATTTATTATCAATTTCTATTTTAGCTTGCTAAGTACTGTGACAATTTGCTAAAAAAGTCAGCAAAAGGGATGACTGAGAATGAAGTAGAAGACAAACTCACAAGCTTCATTACTGTTTTCAAATATATTGATGATAAAGATGTTTTCCAAAAGGTAAGGTGTGAAAAGTTTTTATTTGAATTGCTAGTTTTGTTTATTTTTGAAATTATAAAAAATAATATTTTAAACATACTTTTTCATGTAGTTCTATGCAAGAATGTTGGCGAAACGTCTAATTCATGGGTTATCAATGTCTATGGATTCTGAAGAAGCCATGATCAATAAATTAAAGGTAATATAAACGTTTGTCCTGAAATTATTACACCAACACATAAATGTCTTCACTGCTGCATGGTAGGGAATAATGGGAAGTAATTCATTAACATGGACAGGTTAAATGTATGATGGTCTGTGTAGGGAATTATGTTCCTGGGGGCATGGCTCAAGTAGTAGAGCACCTGCCTAGCAATACAGGGTCCTGAGTTCAAACCCTGGTACTGGGAAGGCAAAAAAAAAGTGAGGGGGGGGCGGCTATGTATTTCTATATATGCTTACACAGAAAAGATCTCCAAGATAATTAGCATTAATTTGAAAATAACTAATTTTACTTATGAATGAATACACTTGTAGTGCAGGTGAATTTGAGTTCATTTTTCTTACACACCAAGAGAAGTAAGTTGATTTCATATTGGCTGTTAGGAAATTTATGTGAAAGTTCTGTTTTTTTTTTTAAATATAATTTTATTATTAATGAATTTCAGGTAATAAGTATATATATATATATATATATATATATATATATATATATTTTTTTTTTTTTTTTTTTTGGGGGGGTCCGGTCCTGGGGCCTGAACTCTGGGCCTGGGCGCTGTCCCTCAGCTCTTCAGCTCAAGGCTAGCGCTCTACCGCTTGAGCCACAGCACCACTTCTGGCTTTTTTCTTTTTGCTTATGTGGTGCTGAGGAATCGAACCCAGGGCCTCAGGCATGCAAGGCAAGCGCTCTACCACTGAGCCACCTTCCCAGCCCCAATAAGTATATTTCTTATTTTTGGATAGTGTCATCTCTTCCTTTGCTTTCCCCCCAATATATTTAGTGTTTCTTTTTTTTTTTTTTAAGTTTTTTTTTTTTTTAAATGATGTGCATTATTTTTTATTCTTTTATTTTTGTTTTTTTTGGGGGGTCCGGTCATGGGGCCTGAACTCTGGGCCTGGGCGCTGTCCCTCAGCTCTTCAGCTCAAGGCTAGCACTCTACCACTTGAGCCACAGCACCACTTCTGGCTTTTTCCTTTTTGCTTATGTGGTGCTGAGGAATCGAACCCAGGGCCTCTGGCATGCAAGGCATGCGCTCTACCACTGAGCCACCTTCCCAGCCCATATATTTAGTGTTTCTTAAGAACAGATGTTTTTTATTTTTGACAACTAGACATCTATCTGAAAAAAACTGAAGTTGAATCTGTTCTTATACTGTCTGTAAAAATTCACTACTAGTGAGTTGAAGATATAAATGAAAGAGGCAAAACAATAAATTCTTAGCAGAAAAGCTGGAAGTAATTTTCATGACTTTTGATTAAGACATCAAAAGCCCAAATGACAAAAATAGATTCTTCTAGCTACATCAGAGCATGAGCTTTTGTGTTCAAAGGACAGTGAAATTGACCATAACTAGAGCACTTCCAGTAAACTTCAATGTGTATTTGATATTCTGTATAACTGAGAAAAATATCCCATAGATAGTAAGAAATGTTTTTGCAGTGTTATAATATGCATGGATTTAAAAAACCTTTTTTAGGTTTAGAGGGAAATCATTTTCCTAAAGGTCTAGATACAGTAACACATCCTTATTGATGTGTTTATTTTGGTTGGTTGTGGGGCTTGAACTCTGGGCCTGGGTACTGTCTCTCAGCTCTTCAGCTCAAGGCTAGTGCTCTACCACTTAAGCCACAGTGCCACATCTGGTTTTCTGGTGGTTAATTGGAGATAAGAGTCTCATGGACTTTCCTGCCCGGGATGGCTTTGAAGCGCAATCCTCAGATCTCAGCCTCCTTAGTAACTAGGATTACAGGGGTGAGCAACTGTCACCTGCCTATTTTTCATTTAAGTATATATTTCCAAAATATTTTTAAAATTGTATTTTTTATTTAAGTAGATGTACAAAAAGAGTTACCCCTCAACAAATCAGTTTATAAGTTAATGCCTCTTGATCAATGTCATTTTTCATCATTCTCTCTAAAACTTATTCTTTTTGCAGCAAGCCTGTGGTTATGAGTTTACCAGCAAGCTACATCGGATGTACACAGATATGAGTGTCAGTGCTGATCTCAACAATAAGTTCAACAACTTTATCAAAAACCAAGACACAGTAATAGATTTGGGAATTAGTTTTCAAATCTATGTTCTACAGGTATGAAGTGTTTTCTATGGACATTTACCATCAAACCTAGTGAGGCAAAGAAAGGACTGATAAGGGGACACGGGATTGCATCTGCTTCTGGGAGTGAGGTGGGGCTCCTTGGTTACCTGTTATCTTAATGGGAAGTTAATCATGCCTAGGTAGTCCTGCTGTTGAGTTTTTTAAATCAACATTTCAAAAATACTTGCTTTCAAGTTAGATGTTGCTCTATTTAAATTTTAACTTCTTTTTTTCTTCTAGGCTGGCGCTTGGCCTCTTACTCAAGCTCCTTCATCTACATTTGCAATTCCCCAGGAATTAGAAAAAAGTGTACAGATGGTAAGTTTGAAGGGAAAAAGACTCATAAACCATACAAGTGTTAGTAATTGGTTTTATATGGGTATGTGTGTTTGTTTATTGGGGTGCTTTCTTGGTTTGGTTGTGTTTTTTGGTACAGAGCTCATTCACTGAGTTAAGCGACAACCCAAGTAACTTCCCAAGTAACTTTGCGTATTCTTTCATTTTCAATATTTTCCTCAAGGACTCCTATGATAGAAAGGCATATTACAAGTTACAGTATGTTTGTTCCTTAATTCTTTGCACATGCTGTCAATGCTACAGTGCTAAGCTACATGTCCAGGCCTCTTCCTGAGCAGGAAGAATATACATTATCGTAGTGATTAATACTAAAACTAAAATGCTGAGGGTGTGATAGAGTTCTTTGTCAAAGGGTATCTATTATTCTTAGTAAATCTTTTTCTAAGCAGTTTGCTTTTTTGTTGTTGTTTACTTTTTGTGTTACTAAGCTTTGACTCAGGGTTTCAGGCTTGATAGGCGTGGAATCTATATGATTTGAGCTATATCCCAACCCCTTTTGGCTGGTTATTCTTTTGGTTGTGGGTTTGTTATTTGTTTTTCCCCTGTGCTGGTACTGGAGCTTGACTCAAGGGCATGGTTATTATTCATTAGCTTTTTTTTTTTTTTTTGTCAGTCGTGGAGCTTGAACTCTGGGCCTGGGCACTGTCCCTGAGCTCTTCAGCTCAAGGCTAGCACTCTACCACTTTGGAGATAAGAGTCGTATGGAGTTTACTGCCTGGGCTGGCTTTGAACTGTGTTCCTCAGATCTTAGTCTCCTGGCGCTTTATTTTTAGCCTTTTTGTTTGAGTCTGGTACTCTACGACTTGAGCTACAGCTCCACTTCCGGCTTTTTGGTGGCTAATAAAAAAAATAAAAATCTCACGGACTGGGCTGGGAAGGTGGCTTAGTGGTAGAGCGCTTGCCTTGCATGCCTGAGGCCCTGGGTTGGATTCCTCAGCACCACATAAACAAAAAGAAAAAAAAGCCAGAAGCAGCTCTGTGGCTCAAGTGGTAGGGCGCTAGCCTTGAGCTGAAGAGCTGAGGGACAGCGCCCAGGCCCAGAGTTCAGGCCCCACGACCGGACCCAAAACAAAAGTCTCACGGACTTAACTGTCTCACCTGGCTTCAAACCACAATCCTTAAATCTCAGCTGGGATTAGCCACCAGTGCCTAGTTTGTTGCCCCTATGTCAGACCCTTTTTGTTTTCCCTGCCCTGGGACTTGAATTCAGGGGCTGGGCACTGTCCATGAGCTTATTTTACTCAAGGTGAGCACTCCATTTTCTGCCATTTGGTAGGTTGTTGGAGATCAGAGTCACATGGACTTTCCTGCTTGGACTAGCTGTGGACTGTGATCCTCAGATCTCAGTCTCCTGAGTAGCTAGGATTACAGGTGTGAGCCACTAGTGCACAGCTCTGTTCACTTTATTTTTTACGCCAGTTCTGAGGCCTGAACTCAGAGCCTCTTGCCCTTGGCTTTCATTTTTTTTTGTGTGTGTGTGGATGGGTCCGTCATGGGGCTTGAACTCAGGGCCTGGTGCTGTCTCTGAGCTCTTTTGTTGAAGGCTAGTGCTCTACCACAGTCCACTTCTGGTTTCCTGCTGGTTTCCAGGCCTTTCTTGCCTGGGCTCGTTTTGAACCATGATTCTCAGATCTCAGCTTCTTAAGTAGCTGGGATTACAGATACGAGCCACCAGCATCCAACTGGATCTTGGCTTTCTTATTTATGTTTGACATGCTACCACTTGGATCACACCTCCAGTCCAGCATTTTGTTCATTAGTCGTAGATTGTGTCTCCAATTGACTTTTCTGCTTGGGCTTGCATTGAACCAAGGTTTTTGTTGTTGGCTGTGGGAACCAGGAGCTGTCCCTGAGCTCTTTTGCTGCAGGAAACACTCTTACTTTTAGCTGAAGTAGTACTAGCCAAAGTGCCCCTTCTTGTTTTCTGGTGGTTAATTGGAGATAAGAGTCTCTTGGCCTCTCTAGTCTGTGCTGGCTTTTGAACTTCAGTCCTCAGATCTCAGCCTCCTGAGTAGCTAGGATTATAAGCATGAGCCACTAGGGCCTGGCTTGAACCAGGATTCTCTGGGTCTCAGCCTCTCCTAAATAGGATTACAGGCATTGGCAACCAACTCCCAATTTAGCCTATTTTTTTTCTAGATTTTTAAAAAATAATATTCAGATTAAGTGATCACATAAATTTCACAATATTGTAGGATAGTGATACTTAAAGTCACAAACACATTTTAACCTTCACAAGGCAAATTATCATTATCTTGGTCTATAAAGTTCTATAAGCTTTGACAATACAACTTATTTCTTTCCTTTTGGGTGATATGTACATTTCTTTCCTTTTGCTTAGTGTTAGCTGTTCCCTCTTTCCCTTTCATTCCTTCCCCTTATTTATTTTCAAATGAGAAATTTAGCCAACTTGTATTTCTCTCTAATACAATTTGATAATGAGATTACTGAATGCTAGAGCAAAGCCTTACAACTTGGAATTATCAAATAAGTCATCAGTAATCCCATTTGGAGCTGTGTTGAAACCAACAGGACCTGGGACAAGGCAGTAAAAGAGACTGGACTAGGGGCCCTGTAGCCTTCAGCCAACTTCAGATCCCAGTGTTCTACTAACCAAAGTTTTTATTGCATTTCAAATAGGGAAGTATGTGCAAAAAGTAAGGTATAAGCATCAACAAGTGACAACATTTTAAAGATACAGTTACTCATTTTTAAACTTTTATTTTGCTTTTATCCCCAATTAATTTTCAGGGATTATTGATAAAATTTTAAATGTAAAATTCTGAATTGTAAATTATGGCAATTGGATTTTATTGCTACTCTATGGTTATTAGTCAAAGAGACTTCTAGGACCCTCTGCAACATGTCTTGATTGGCTTGTTTGCTTAAGAACCATGCAAAACATCTTAAATATCCCAGGTGCCAGTCATCGCCTATTAATCACACAAAGGGTTTGGTGGATGTGCTGGTGGAGGATGCCGTGCCAGTGGAGGGCAGAGATACTCAACTACTGAACTTCCCAGGACAAGCCAAGCTTGGACTAATCTGCTGAGGGTGGCTGAGTCTCCTGATTAGAGCTGTAAACTTGGGATGTAAGGACGATACATGGTATAGCTGCTAGGTCGTGTTGTTTTATTTAAATTTCTTAAAAATACAAAAGGTAAAATTTGAGAGAGAAAGCTTTAGTAGGTATGTTTGAACACCATGCTAAAGCTATATCCTGTCTCTGAACTACGATGTGATACAGTTTTTTCTTTTTGTTTTCAATTTTATAAAGAAATCTTGAGGGTTTTTTGTTTTTTTGGTTTTTTGTTTTGCTTTTTTCTTTGCTAGTCCTGAGGCTTGAACTCAATGCCTGGGCATTGTCCCTGAACGTTTTTTGCTCAAGGCTAGTGCTCTGCCACTTCTTGGGAGTCTTAGGGACTTTTCTGTGTAGGCTGACTTTGAACCACAATCCTCAGATCCTAGCCTTCTGAGTAGCTAGGCTTATAGGCATGAGCCACAGGTACTTGGCAGCAATGTAGTTTTTATAAAAAGTCTTTTTTTACTTTTTATTTTCCTACATATACTACTGTATACTGGCTCTTTTTTTTAGGGTGAAGGAGAACAGTGGTGATGGGGCCCTGTGCTAGCTCCTAAAAAACTGTGAACTGTGTCCTATTAAGACTTCATCCTGCCTGACTGGAGGTATGGCTCTAGTGGTAGAGCACCTTGCTAGAAAGTGTGAGGCCTTGAGTTCATTCTCTGGTTCCTCCAAATGAAACTTCTGTTGCATACCCACACATTCAATCCAGAGAAGCTTTTAAAATGTTACAACTACATTAAGGAATGTTAAATTTAATTATTCATGAGAATAGCAACAAACGAGTATCCCCCCAAAAAAGTACTCTGAACTCCAAGGCTTTTTAAAAAAAATTATTAAATCATAGGCAGCCACATATAATAATCAACTTGTCACTTTGGCAAAGGGTAAGGGATGAGCAATGAAGATATGGTTTATATTTTCAGGCCAAATGTATAGGTTTGTTTTTAGTCAGGAAGTAGGATTTATAAAGCCAAATTAACATCAAATGATGTCATATTGAATTTATACAATAAAATTAGATTTGTAAATGTTGTGGTATTATGGAAAAACTACAAGGTCTGATGAAAAAAGCTAGGATAGATCACTGACATGCAGTTGCCATTTCCCACAAAACAAAAATAATTCAGGAAGATAAATTACCTACAGTGTGTCTGTTTGCTTTTGGGTGCCAAGTTACCCTGCCTTTTTTTTTTTTTTTTTTTTTTGTCTAGAGTGGCCACTAGTATTCTGGGCTCCCAGGAACCCTTGGTCTAAGCCTTCAGATTTACTGGGGACTATTGGCCACTCTTACCATGTTTGTAATTGATTTCAATGTGAATGTACAAATAAGGACCTCTATAATCAAGGCGCTCCTATCCCAGGCATAGAGCGTTAATTTGATTTTGTGAAGATTGCTGGTTGTTTTAAAACTGTGTGCCAGTACATTCAAGAAAATTTGGGAAGCCAGTCACCGGTGGCTCATGCCTGTAATCCTAGCTACTCAGGAGGCTGAGATCTGAGGATCAAGGTTCAAAGCCAGACCAGGCAGGAAAGTCCCTGAAACTCTTTATCTCCAATAAACCACCAGAAAACCGGAAGTGGTGCTGTAGCTCAAGTGGTAGAGTGCTAGCCTTGAGCTGAAGAGCTGAGGGACAGAGCTCAAAGAGTTCAAAGCCCATGACCGACAAAGAAAAAAAAGAAAAAGAAAAAAAAAAGAAAATTTGGGATAATACTCCTTATGATCTTGGTCAGGGACTACAGACATTTTCTTACCTGTAAGTTGACAAGGTATAGTAAATGGAAGTGTCATGAACATACCTTTGCAGTATGCTGATAACTAGGTAAGTTATATACAAGCTGAACACAATTTTCTTTCTTTTTTTGCAGTTTGAATTATTTTATAGCCAGCATTTCAGTGGAAGGAAACTTACATGGTTACATTATCTCTGTACAGGTAAAATGCATTTAATTATAGTTGATTTGATGAAAGTTATACTTGTGTTTGTTTCCTATAGCCTAATTATAATTATAGTCTTTTCTTCTCCATCTGCCTTTACCGTAGAAGCAATAAGTAATGACATTCAGTTACAGCATTTTTCTTCAGTGTATTTTAAACTGTGCTGCTTTTTATTTGGTCGGTTGTGGGGCTTGAACCCAGGGCCTAGGTGCTGTCCCTAAGCCTCTTTATGCTCACAGCTACCACTCTACAATTTGAGCCACATCACCACTTCAGTTTTTGAGTCTCAGAGGGAATTATTATTATTATTTTTGCAATTGTGGGGCTTGAACTACCAGTGCCCTGCACAAACCACTCTTTATTGACGTTAAAAATTTATTTGGGCCAGGCGCCAGTGGCTCATGCCTGTAATCCTAGCTACTCAGGAAGCTGAGATTTGAGGATCATGGTTGAAAGCCAACTGGGGCAGGAAAGTCCCTGAGACTCTTATCTCCAATAAACCACCAGAAAACCGAAAGTGGTGCTGTGGCTCAAGCAGTAGAGCACTCGCCTTGAGCTGAAGAGCCCAGGGACAGCACCCAGGCCCAGAGTTCAAGCCACACAAAAATTATTTGGAAATAGAGACTTAATGGGTCACATACTCCTACAAGCCAAATGTCTAAATAGTCTGTGTGGGGCTGGGAAGGTGGCTCAGTGGTTGAGCGCTTGCCTTGCATGCCTGAGGCCCTGGGTTCGATTCCTCAGCACCATATAAGCAAAAAGAAAAAAACCAGAAGTGGCGCTGTGGCTCAAGTGGTAGAGCGCTAGCCTTGAGCTGAAGAGCTGAGGGACAGTGCCCAGGCCTAGAGTTTAGGCCCCACAACTGGACCCCCCAAAAAAAATAGTCTGTATATCTTCGGAAGTTTGAACAACTATTATTGTATCATAGAGAGACAGAGCCATTGGGATTTTGTCATACTATAATGAACTGCAGTAGTACTTTTTTCCAAGGAAGTTCCAACTTCACAAGTTTGCAATTTGAGAAACCCTAGTCATAATCTGATAATTTATTTATTTTTTTGTTTCTGCAGTAGTAGGTCCATGTTTTGACAGTAGATTTAACACTCCCCTCCGCCCCTCCTTTTTTTTTTTTTTATCGGTCATGGGCCTGAACTCTGGGCCTGGGCGCTGTGTCTCAGCTCTTCAGCTCAAGGCTAGCACTCTACCACTTGAGTCACAGTGCCACTTCTGGCTTTTTCTGCTTATGTGGTGCTGAGGAATCGAACACAGGGCCTCATGCATGTAAGACAAGCATTCTACCACTGAGCCACCTTCCCAGCCCTTCTTTTTTTTTTTTTTTTCTGTGCTGATTCTCAGGCTTAAAATCAGAGCCTAGGTGCTGTCCCTGAGCTTTTGTGCTCAAGGCTAGCTCTTTTTTTTTTTTTTTTTTTTGTCAGTCATGGGGCTTGAACTCTGGAATTGGGCTCTGTCCCTCAGCTCTTCAGCTCAAGGCGAGCGCTCTAGTACTTGAGCTACAGCGCCACTTCTGGTTTTCTGGTGGTTTATTGGAGATAGGAGTCTCATGGTCTTTCCTGCCCAGGCTGGCTTTGAACCGAGATCCTCAGATCTCAGCCACCTGAGTAGCTAGGATTACAGGCGTGAACCACTAGCGCCTGGTAAGGCTAGCGCTTTACCACTTGAGCTACATATTCACTTCCAGCTTTTTGCTGCTTAATTGGAGATAAGAGGGTCACAGATGTTCCTACATGGTCTTGTTTTGAACCTTGATCCTCAGATTTCAATCTCCTGAGTAGCTAGGAGGTGCCCAACTATTCTTTGCCAAACTTCAAAAAGTACAGTTAAGATTACTTGTAATCTTCTTGCCTTAGCTTCCCAAGTGTTGGGAATACAAGTAAGTGGGGGTAGGGAACAGTGGGTGGGAGGATGGCAAGCTGGCAAGCTAGAGAAGCTTAGTGAGAATTTGGTGTTTTGTTGAATTTAATTTGCTTCTATGCTTCCTATCTCTTTTTTTTTTTTTTTTTTTGATCCGGTCGTGGGGCCTGAACTCTGGGCCTGGGCACTGTCCCTCAGGTCTTCAGCTCAAGGCTAGCGCTCTACCACTTGAGCCACAGCACCACTTCGGCTTTTTTCTTTTTGCTTATGTGGTGCTGAGGAATCGAACCCAGGGCCTCAGTCATGCAAGGCAAGCGCTCTACCACTGAGCCACCTTCCCAGCCCCCTGAGTATCTATCTTGTAGAATTAAACTCTGATTATTCTTATTACTTCAACAATAATTACTATATCTCCTAAAGTAAATATGAGAGGCTCAACTTTTGATGCTTAAGTAATTGTATATAGTAAGAAGGAATTTATGTATATAGTTTTAGCTCATTGCTTACTAGATTTGTAACCTTGAGTAAATCACTTCTGTGTCTGGTTCCTCATATAATCATTTACCAACAGAACATTTTCAGTGTCTCACGAAATTCTTGTCTCACTAAACTCTTTGTCTCTGAAGAAGACAGAAAAGTAAGTAGTAATAGCACAACATTTTGTTGTATATGATAAGAGGCAGGCCTAACTTGGTCTAGGGTCACACAGAATGGTGGTGGCAAACAGTACCAAGGAGGATCCCAGGCACTAGTGGTTCATACCTGTAATCATAGCTACTCAGGAGGCTGAGATCTGAGGATCAGCGTTCAAAGTGTCCTGGACAGTAAAGTCCAGAGAACTTTTATCTCCAATTATTCACTGAAAAGGCTAGAAATGGAGATTTGGATCAAGTGGTAGAGCATTAACCTTGCACAAAAGCTCAAGGACAGTGCCCAGGTCCTGAGTTCAAGCCCCAGGACCAGCACAAAAACAATAACAAAAAAATCCAAAAAGAAATAGTACCAAGAAGGAAAGGCTTCTTGGTAGATAACTTCTAAACCATTTGCCAGAACCAACAGGACTGATGACAGGGAAGGAGAGCTTGGACTATGTATTAGTAATGAGTAGAAGCCTTTTCAGAAATGAGCAATCTAGGGGCTGGGAAGGTGGCTCAGTGGTAGAAGAGCTTGCCTTGCATGCCTGAGCCCCTGGGTTCAATTCCTCAGCACCACATAAGCAAAAAGAAAAAAGCCGAAAGTGGCGCTGTGGCTCAGGTGAGTGCTAGCCTTGAGCTGAAGAGCTGAGGGACAGCGCCCAGGCCCAGAGTTCAGGCTCCACGACCGGACCCCCCCCCCCCCCCAAAAAAAAAAAAAAAAAAAAAAGGAGCAATCTACAATATCAGAGGAGCAGATAGGGAGAGAAGACCTAGAAATTCCAACGGATGATGACTAGGCACTTTGGTCAGAATTACTCTTAGAGAACAACTTGGTGGGCAGATACAGATACCTGTTGAAGAGATCTTTCCAGACAATAGAGCAGAAACCCCCCTTGCCACGGTACTCAGGCACATTACTTTGAAAAGCCCAGGTTAAGTTGTTTTGTAGAATACTCATTGCTTGGATTAATACTTTTATATTTGTGATGCCTTTGTTTTCTTTTTCCTGTGAGTTCTGTGAAGTACATAGGTCCCAGGATTTGATTATATTTATATTCAGACTTAGTGTTACTGGCAGTAATACTTCCTAGTGCTTGCTTGGGAGTCGGTGGTTCATGCCTGTAATCCTAGTTACTCAGGAGGCAGAGATCTGCAGGATCTCTGGGCAGAAAAGTTTGCCAGACTCCATTTCCAAAATAATGAGCAAAAAAGCAGGGATGAAGGCCTAAATTAGTGGTAGAGCACCAGCCTAATAAGTATGAGGCCCTAAGTTCAAACTCTATATCAAGCCCCCCCCAACTCAAAAACAAAAGAATACTTCTGAATACTTTGTAGTACTTTTTTATACTTTATTGCATTGCCTATATTGGCATGTAAACTCAGATTCTTTAACCATGAGACATGGTGAATATGACCATGAATGTAAGGTGCTTACCACCAGACACCTGCATTTTATTTTATTTTTTTGGTCCATTGTGAGGCTTGAACTCTGGGCTTGGGTGCTGTCCTAGCACTCTTCAGCTCAAGGCCAGCGCTCTACTGCTTGAGCTATAGCACGGCTTCCGGTATTCGAGTGGTTTATTGGAGATAAGAGTCTCATGGACTTTCCTGCCCAGGCTGGCTTTGAACCGTGATCCTCAGATCTCAGCCTCCTGAGTAGGTAGGATTATAGGCGTGAGCCACTGGCGCCTGGCTGATACCTGCATTTTAAAAAGTCCTCTTTCCTTGTTTCAGTTAGGGAATCTGAGTCAGACATCACATATAAATACCCTGTTCCAGGAACAGGCTTACCTAATATATCCTTGACTGGCTCAGGTATTTTGCTACTGGTTGGGAATGGCAATATCTATCATTGCTTAAATGTTATTTAGGTGACAGATAATCTGTAAGGAAGCTCTGTAAGAGCAGGGAGATGACAGGAGGAGTGCCTTGAAACTTGCAAAAATTAGACTAGTTATTTGCATCTTGAACTGTGTACCTGTGCACATGTGTACTTGTATTAGGACTTGTCTCATATAGACATTTTATGCTCATGGCTGGCTTACTACCACTTGAGCCACACTTCTACTTCCAGCTTTTTACTGGGTAGTTGGAGATACAAGTTTCATGGATTTGTCTGCTCTGCCCTATCTTTTTTTTTTTTTAACCAGTCCTGGGGCTTCAGCTCAGGTCTAGGTACTACCCCCGAGCCTCTTTGTGCTCAAGCCTAGCACTCTACTGCTTGAGCCACAGCACCACTTCTGGCTTTTTTCTGGGTAATTTTATTGAGATAAGATTTTCATGGATTTTCCTGCCTGGGCTGACTTGGAACCATGACCCACATATTTCAGTCCCCTGAATAGCTAGGATTACAAGTGTGAGCCAACAGTGCACAGCTGTCTGCTGTGTAGAGGGAGGTTTCAATTCAGCATGTGAATGTATGAGTATAATACATCTTGATAATGTCACCCCCTCCTTGTTCTCCACCATCTCCTATTTGTCTTTTCATGTCTTTTGTCATAGCAAGTTATGTTAGCACTCTTGTCATTTCCATTTTGTGTTTCCCTGGCAGTACTTAAGTGACTCATTCAGGTTGGGGGTTTCCTAGCTGTGTGCTGATGGGAGCAGGAGGAGCTCCCATTTCTGATCCATGAAAATTTATTGAAAAACAGTATGAAAAGACACAATAGAAAATGAACTATTTCTTCCTATTTAAGGACTGTAGAATGAACTTAATGCTAGACAAATGTCACTTTGGTCTGCTGTTGCATCATGACCTAACACTGGGTTCTGTGGGGAAGAACACTCATTTCTGTGCCTAATGCATAGTAGTGTATTTCTCTGGTGCACCCTGGCTACGGGTGCCCTGGAGGCACCTGGCACTTGATGCTTAGTTAGACTTCTTTCCTACATGTGATTGAGTAGGCGTTACAGAAATGTTAAAATGCAATCTGTATGTCTTGCTTCTTACCACATTTTCCAAACTTGTAATGATAATTTTTTTTTTTTTGGTCCAGTCGTGGGGCCTGAACTCTGGGCTTGGGTGCTGCCCCTCAGCTCTTCAGCTCAAGGCTAGCACTCTACCACTGGAGACACAGCGCCACTTCTCCCTTTTTTCTTTTTGCTTATGTGGTGCTGAGGAATCGGACCCAGGGCCTCATGCATGCAAAGCAAGCACTCTACCACTGAGCCACCTTCCCAGCCCCCTGTAATGATAATTTTTATGTACACTATTGGAGTTGGATATTCTAGTTCATATGTTAAACCCTCTATCATGTGATTTCAGAAATTGAAAATGTCTCTTAAGTGTTCCAATCCAGATCATTCTGAAAAATGTTTCTAAGCATCACTTTCATGAAAGCTTAGATACAAATGATAATATTAATAAAGTGAATGTAGGAATCTGTACGATAATTCTTTAAGACCTTTAATTATGTGATGAATAAATAAACTTGGAAGTGTTGAGTCAGCATTACTAATTATTCCAGAGCTGTATGTGGCCTCTGGGAGTCATTTCATATAAAATACAGCTTCTTTGAGTTAAAATGAAGAGTTTAAAAATCAAATCTTGCCAGGCACTGGTGGCTCATGCCTGTAGTCCTAGCTACTCAGGAGGCTGAGATCTGAGGATCATGGTTCAAAGCCAGCCTGGGCAAGAAAGTCTGTGAGACTCTTTATCTCTAATTAACCACCAGAAAACCGGAAGTGGCCTTTTGGCTCAAGCGGTAGAGCGCTTACCTTGAGCTGAAGAGCTGAGGAATAGTGCCCAGGCCCAGAGTTCAAGCCTCATGACCGACCAAATCTCATGCTGGTTTAATTTATATTCCATTAAATAGTCCAGTGACACAGGCTATGTGTATATATTTGTATGAGTGTGCACGTGCATGTGTTGTAATCAATAACCACAACTTCACCCTTTAGGAAGTTGATTTTTTTTTTTAATGCTGGTCCTGGGACTTGAACTTTGGGCCTGGGCACTATTGCTGAGCTGCTTTTGCTTAAGGCTAGCTAGCACTCTACCATTTGAGCCACAGCTCCACTTTGGATTTTTGGTGGTTAATTGAAGATAAGAGATCCACTAGCTTTCCTGCCTGGGCTGGCTTTAAACCTTGATCCTCAGATCTCAGTCTCCTGAGTAGGATTACAGGTGTGAGCCATTGGAACCCAGTTCTTTGATCTTTTTAGTGTTTTAGAAGGTGTACATATTTGTGATCCTGTTTGCTACAAGTTTTCCATGTGGTAAGGTCATGCAGCTGTCTCCATGGGAAGCTGCACATTAGTGGAATACCTAAAACCTGCAGATTTTCCTGCTCCCAGGGTAGTTTAAAATCTAGAATATTTTTGTAATACTGGACAAAAGAATGGGTCCACCCATTTGTCTCTCCTTCCTGTTTACCTCTAGAAAGTTGGAGATGAGAAAATTACATATGATGACATACCATTGTTAAATTTTGGCAGAATTATAGCTTAGACAATGCCCCACAAGCATTTTCCAGCGTACACCTCCCATATGCTTGAGCTTTGTTCAGATCCAACCAGGTAGAAAAATTGCTGGTTACAAGGCATTACTAGTGGCAAACGATCATCTCCCTTGTCTGTCTTCTACCTTGTTTAGCATTGTTCCTGCCTGACTAAGACTTATTAGTGTAACTTTCTTTTTAGGGTTTATACATTGTTTCAGCCCACTGGCAAAGATAGGATAGGTTAACTGTTTTACTGTATACTCAAAACTAGTAACATTCCTACATCCTGCAATCCAAAACACCACCGAATAATCCTTCTCTTGTTCAGGAAAACATGCTGAAATAACTTATGTAATTTTGAAATATTTCTTTGAATAGATGGCTTACTGTCTTAATTTTTATTTAAATTGTAGGTGAAGTTAAAATGAACTATTTGGGCAAACCATATGTTGCCATGGTTACAACATACCAAATGGCAGTTCTTCTTGCCTTTAACAACAGTGAAACTGTCAGCTATAAAGAGCTTCAAGACAGCACACAGATGAATGAAAAGGAGCTGACCAAAACAATCAAATCATTACTAGATGTGAAAATGATTAACCATGACTCAGAAAAGGTATGTGGCAGTTTTCCCAAGGAATTTTAAGCATCAATAGAAAAACTTTTTCATGGAATCTTTGTAGTAAAAACAAAAACGGGAGTGGGGAGGGTAGGTATTTGTCCTTTTTTTTTTTTGGTCGGTCTTGAGGCCTGAACTCTGGGCCTGGGCGCTATCCCTCAGCTCTTCAGCTCAAGGCTAGTGCTCTACCACTTGAGCCACAGCACCACTTCTGGCTTTTTCTGCTTATGTGGTACTGAGGAATTGAACCCAGGGCTCATGCATGCAAGGCAAGCACTCTATCACTGAGCCACCTTCCCAACCTTGTCCTTTGTGCTTTGGAAGGTGTGTGAATCAGCTATAGTTCTACCAGCTGGAGCTTCTGGAGTCAAAGAGAGCACTGCCTAAGTGCCTCTACTGGTTTCATTTATTTGTCCTACACTAGGATAGCTGACTGAAAACTTGTAAAAGGATTACCACCTAAAGATTCTGGGGAGTTTAAACTAGCCTCTCCCTCCACCCCCTGTTGTTTCCTCCATGTATTTAGTTGTTTAATAAGGTCCACATGTGCACATATTTTTCACGTGGGGCTCCATGCCAGATACTCTCAAGAACCTTAATGTTTGGTTGTAGTTAATCACCATGTATTTTTTAATAGCCTTCATAAGTATAACAAGCCAATTTTGTATTTCTTCTTTTCTTTGTGACTCTTTTTCTAGCAACAAGTTGTTGTTGTATGTCTTACTGCTAAATGATTTAAAAAACAAATGTGGGATGGATAATTTCAGATTATTGTACTTATAAGAAAAGATTCTTTTGATCCTTTTCTGGTTCATAAGCGTGATGATTGGGTTCTCACGCGCTTGTGTGATATGTGCCTTCCTCTGAACCTTGTTATGATGTGGGCACATTACCGGTCTGACGTAAAGGTCCGGTCGTGGGGCCTGAACTCTGGGCCTGGGTGCTGTCCCCCAGCTCTTCAGCTCAAGGCTAGCCTTCTACCGCTTGAACCACAGCACCACTTCCAGCTTTTTTTTTCCTGCTTACGTGGTGCTGAGGAATTGAACCCAGGGCCTCATACATGCAAAGCAAGCGCTCTACCACTGAGCCAACTTCCCAGCCCAAGAAAAGATTCTTATAAGTGATGTTTCATTTAATTTTTTTTTTTTGTAGTGAAGATAATATGGGAGTTTACTTGGAAAGGAATAGGCTTTGAATAGACAAAGTGGGTCATTTTAGGGAGAGAATGACCATTTCCCTTTTTTAAAATTTATTTATTTATTTATTTTTGGGTACTGATCTTGGGTCTTGAACTCAGGTGCCTAGGCACTGTCCCTGAGTTTCTTTTGCTCAAAGCTAGTGCTCTACCACTTGAGCCACAGTTCCACTTCTGTTTTTTTTTGGTGCTTAATTGGAATTATCATGGACTTTCTTGCCTGGCTGGCTTTGAACTGCAATCCTCACCTCTCAGCCTCCTAAATTGTTAGGATGACAGGCATGAGCCTGTTTCATTTTTATTGAGAAGATGATTGATTTTCTCATTTATTCATTTTCCCAGCATTCCTTTTTTTTAACCTTAACGGAACAACTGTAGATTGCAAAAGTCTTTTCTTAAAATTTCTTTTAATTTTCTTAATTTTGAGAAATTATTTTCTGTCTTCAACTCATAGCAGAATATTAAGTTCTTAATGTTGATATCTTAGTTATTAAAATTAGTTCATTTTATTGTTTAACAACTAAATGCTTTATCTTAAAACATAGCTTTGCCCAGATATTTACAAAAGACAATATAGAGTGCTTTCTTGTACTTTTCCTTACTAGAATTTCTTCGGTTATCTCTGAGAATTGATCCATCAGGCATGTGCTTCTTAATTAATCCTGCTGGTAGAGAAATTCTGCTGCAATAAGTCTGCCTTATTTGCAGATTAATTACATGCGTTTTGAACAAGCACCATTAAAAATAGTAAGAAACTTAAGAAGATGATAAAAATTTCAAAGAGCAGAAAATTCCAATTCCCACTCCTGTGTCACATGGCTCGGTATGCAGAGAAGCTCTGTCAGTTATTGTCAGGTGTTTAAATCATGGTATGAGCTGCTGGGTGTTTCCCAAATAGCAAGTGGTACCTACAAAGCAAGGTAGAAGTGAATGTGTTTTATTGAAGTGCTGAACTGCAAACCTGAGATTTGTTGATAGGTACAGTGTTCTTAGGAGAAACTGGGTGATGTTACATGAAAAATGAGTTCAGCATGGTCTGTGCATCGCAAGCATTGTAGGGTTTTCCCCCACCTCACTTTCCAGTGAAACACATACTGGTACAAACTAAGGGGTGATATAAGAGGCTTTTTTTTTTTTTTTTTGCCAGTTCTGGAGCTTGAATTCAGGGCCTGGACTCTGTCCCTGAACCTCTTTGTGCTCAAGGATAGCACTCTACCACTTGAGCCACAGAGCCACTTTCAGCTTTTTCTGAATAGTTTATTGAAGATAAGAGTTTCACAGACTTTCCTGCCTGGGCTGGCTTTGAACCACGATCCTCAGATCTCAGCTTCCTGAGTAGCTAGGATTACAGGCGTATACTGGCGCCCAGCTATGAGACTTTCTTAAACCTGTGGCAGAAATTGTTGTTCTAAAGAACAAATAAACCATGACTTGGAGGGTCAGTCTCATCATACGAAGGGTCATGGAGCATTAGTGCTTTGTGCTATTAGAAACAGAGCTCTCTTCTCTTCAGGAGATCTTCCTACTTTCACCCTCTGCAGTCCTGGGGACCCAGAAATATTTTGTTACTGCAGCATTTTTCTTCAGTGAATATATATCTTTTTGGTAATTATTTAAATTGGCTTATATGCGTTATGAGAAGGCTCCATGCTCACACTGTATTCCAATCCATTGCACCCCTCATTGTCTCCCTCCTCTAAAAAATAGCATCCCCCAAAGGTTTCTTTATTCCGTTTCAAAAAATGGAACAAGATTGGTTGGTGTTTTTTCAAAACAGGGCAATAGAAAAGTTGTAAGCCTTGATATTTTATAAAAATTATAATGTTAAATCCTATTCACTTTAATAAGCAAAGGTAGTGAAATTGCTTTAAATTATATTTAGATGTATTTCAGTAGTTGTATAAAGGAGTGACAATTGAACCAATCAGTTTTTGATTGTAATACATCTTGATCAATGTCATCCCTTTCATCCTTCCCTATCCCTCCCAAATGGAATTGCTTTTTGCTTGTTTATTAAGCAGAAAATGATTACTTCTACTGAAATTGAATAATCTTCATAATGTTAGAGATGATGAGTTTAGTTTTATGCTTGATCATTTCATATATGCAGTAAATTATTTTTGTAAATGTATTTTTAAATTTAGGAAGACATCGATGCAGACTCTTCATTTTCATTAAATATGAACTTCAGCAGTAAAAGAACAAAATTTAAAATTACTACATCAATGCAGAAAGACACACCACAGGCAAGTGCTTTTGAATGCTTTTTGTTTTGGAAATATTTAAATATTGAACTTTATAACTTTCTAAGTCCAGTTTATGCTGAAATGATACAAAGTTTTGTACATGCAGATTAATAATATGGTGCATCTATGCTGGTTTATTCTTTGTATTTGGCAACCTTGATGTAAGTAGAAATCTTTGCCAGTGATGTAGTTTTTAAAAAGGAATGATTTGGGCTGGCCCCCGTGGTTCACACCTGTAATTCTAGATACTCAAATTGGTAAGATTTTAGGATTGCTGTTTAAAGCCGTCCTGGGCAGGAAAATCTGTGAGACTTTTGCTTCCAATTAACCACCAAAAAAAAAAACAAAAAAGCTGGAAGTAAAGCTGTAGCTCAAGCTGTAGAGTGCTAGGCTCTGAGAGAGGAGAAGAGAAAGAGGAAGGGAGGAAGAGAAGAAGGAAGGAAAGGAGGGAGGGAAGGAAAGAAAAAGAGCGAGGTTCTCAGTGACAACCCAGGACAAGCACTAAAAACAAAAAAGGAAAGGAGTGGCTGAGCTGGTGTGAGTAGTTCTTGAGTCTTTTAGTTTGGCAGAGATGATTGCTTTGGTGGGGGACAGAGTGTGCCACTGGCTCCTGTGTTCAGTCCCGAGTCTCAAGGTAGAATATGAAGGCATATTAAATACCATTCTCTTTCCAAGAACTTGTTGTCCTGCAAGAGACAATACTTGTGCATTCATTACTGTGAACTTTGAACTCTACAGTGATTCTGCAAGCTAAAAAATAATAATCAGTATGCATGGATTGGATTAGGCCCCAAAGCTCCCAGGGGATCCCTGCTCCTATTCCTCTGCCTTGCTTTTCTGTGCTTCTCAGCTTTGTGGAGATAGCTTCTTTCTGTCCCATTCTTCCTGGTAGCAGCTCTGAGCCAGACAGAACTCAGCCCCGCATAGCCCCAGCCAGTTTGCACTCAGGACCTGTCACTGCACTGGCTGTAATCATATCTAACAGCATTGTGACACAGTTTGTAATCATTGATAGGTCTTGAAATTTATTGTTCTTCATTGCTAGCATCCTGCTTACTGTCATTTATATTATCCATATAGTTAATTATAGTAGTGTACATTTAAAAATAACCTAATACAAAATAAATGTAACCCAATGTAAGCATTGGTTATATGACATTAGACATAGCCTAGTATATAATATGATCCTCAGTTTAGGTTAAAATTTTTATTAACTCACTGGTAAATTTTAAAAAGTTCAATGATCCCTCCCCCACAGTATAACCCCTGCTTTCACTGTATTTGATGTCGGTATAATTTGTGGAGGGGAAGGGAAAAACAAATCGTTTAAATAGGGATACAGGTGGGCCCATTGCAACAATGAGATGTACACGTCTTTATGTCGAAAACGAACGAACGTTACAACTTAGGTGGGGGGTGTGGGGGGGGAGGGAGTATTGGGTGAGAGGGCAGGGGGAGGATGAGAAGGGGAAACAAAGGAGGAGGCTACAATGCTTGATAAGAAATGTACTCATTATCTTGCCCATGTAATTGTAACCCCTCTGTACAGTATTTTCACAAAAAAAAAAAAAAAGTTCACTGAGTGTCTTATCTACTATTTTTTGTGTATAAAACAGGAAATGGAGCAGACTAGAAGTGCTGTAGATGAGGACCGGAAAATGTATCTCCAGGCTGCTATCGTGCGTATAATGAAAGCACGGAAAGTGCTTCGGCACAATGCCCTTATTCAAGAGGTAAGAAGAGGAAGTCCTCAATACTTAAGGGAGGGGTACTGTTGATGCTAGGAGAACAGTACTCACATACAATTTCAGGGTTTAAAGTAAAATTTGCTTTGGCTTTTATTTAGAGATCTTAACCTAGCCAATTTATTGATCTCTTGTTTGTTTGTTGTTGGTCATGGGGCTTGAACTCAGGGCCTGGGTGCTATCCCTGAATTCTTCTGCTCAGGGCTAATGCTCTACCACTTTGAGCCACAGTGCCACTGGTTTTCTGGTGGATATTTGGAGATAGGAATCTCAAGGCTGACTCTCCTGCCCAGCCTACTTTTGTACCATGATCCTCAGATCTCAGCTCCCTAAGTAGCAAGAATTACAGGCCTGAGCCACCAGTGCTGGGCTTTGTTGTTGTTTTTTAATTATTTTAGTAAGGTTATATTTTCAAATAGAATAAAGTAGGGGAAAATGAGGAAAAAAGAGGAACATTTACTACTCTCAGGATACGTGAATAAAAACTCTCTTGACCAGTTATTGAAGGAAGCAGTCATTTTGTTCTGTATACAATTTCCTGAGCAGTGCAGAGGGCTTGGGATGTAGCAGCTCTTGTGGAAGTGACATTAACAGGGCACAAGTACACACAACTGAAGTACTGTGCAACAAAACATATCCATATAGCATGCACACACCACCATGGGTATGTGTATAGAAATCTTGATGTACAGATACTGGGAGCTGGTGCTAAAAGGGAATTTAAACTCAAAGAATGTTTATTTTGGTACATTACTTAATTTATAGTGTCATGAATTATGCACAGACATTATTTGATTTTGCCATATCTATATTCTGCACTTTTATTCCTTCACAATAAAAGCAATAGAATTTTGTCCCTTACTTTGAACAAAAAATATGTTTTTGACCTTCATGTCAAGCTGACTAGATCTGATTCTCTCTCTCCCTGTACCCTGCCTTGCTTTGTATAAACAATTTAAGAGTGTCCACAGTACTTACTCACTTGCTGTAGGAGGTTTACTCATTTTATCTTTTCAGTAGTTTAATTAATATAATTTCATACGTATCCTATTGAGCTATGGGCACCAGTGGCTCATGCTTGTAAGCCTAGCTACTTAGGAGGCTGAGATCTAAGGATCACAGTTCAAAGCCAGCTTGGGCAGGAAAGCCTGTAAGACTCTTGTTTCCACTTAAGCACCCAAAAAGCTGGAAATGGTAGAGCACTGGCCTTGAACACAAAATCTCATGACAGCCCCCAGGCCCTGAGTTCAAGCCCAGGACTGGTGTGTGTGTGTGTATACACAGACACATACACACACATACTCACACAAAATAATAGAGCTATTGGATTAGGTCTGTTTGTTGAAACATCTCAAAGCAGTTTGAGCTGCCTTTCAGCTGATTGGTTGGAAGTGGTTAGTTATAGTTGAATAATTTACAGTAGCTTGACTTCCTGTGTCTCTTACTATACAGGTGATTAGTCAATCAAGAGCTAGGTTTAATCCCAGTATCAGCATGATTAAGAAATGTATTGAAGTTCTCATAGACAAACAGTACATTGAGCGCAGCCAAGCATCCGCAGATGAATACAGCTATGTCGCTTGATGCCACTGTCCCCCATGTGGATATGAGAAGATCATTGCCATCACCATTCGGTGTGTTCCTGTGGGAAAAAGCAGGCCTGTGCCTCCATAATTTGGTCATTTGGCAGCCCCTGTTTTCTGCTGTTTACAACATCACCAGTGCCACGTCATGAGCGTCAAAGAAAATGCCTAGAGATATTTCCAGCTCATGTCATCACGACATTTCTTAAAACTTTATGAAAGAATGAGTGAAGTATTGCTGAAATGTGGAAATCTGGTTGGGTACCATGCTTTTTCTCCCCTTCACGTTTGCAGTTGATGTGTTTTTTTTTTTTTTTTTAATGTATCTTAAAGGACATAAAATAAGAACTTAAATATTGTAATATGACAGATAACCTAATAATTGTATCTACATTAAAATGACAAACATGATATTGCTGCTTGTCAAATAAAAAAATAAAGAAGTAGAATGCCTTTTTTTATGTGGTTGGAATATCAAGTTGGCCACAAAATAATACATATAAATGTTCATGAGTCATCCAAGCAGTGGATGCAATCTTAGTTGCTGTTGTTTTTGTTTTCTCAGTACTGTGGTTTGAACTCAAGGCCTTCTATTTTGCTAGGCAGTTGCTCTACAACTTGAGCCACACCCCGAGGCCTTTTTGTTCTCACTATTTTTGGACTGGCCTAGCTTGCTGTCCTTTTATTTATACTTCCCACTTAGTTGGGATGATGCACACACCACTATGCCCAGCTTTTATTGGTTCAGTTTTATTGGGGTCTCACCAGCTTTTTGCCCTGGCTGTTCTTCAACCGTGATCCTCCTGATCTCGGCCCCCCAAGTTTGTAGATGTAAGCCATTGAGCTTCCAGTTTTATTTCTTATCCGAGTAGCTTAATTCACTTGGACTTCTGTTAACTCCATGAAAATGTCCTGTCTGCATAAAGATGCATTTAGCACAAACATGCTTTATTTAAAGAGTAGAACAATAATACCCCTGAGTATTTTGCATATTGAAAATAGAGTTTCTGGTGCTATGCTATCATAGGAAAGAAGCAGGGGGGGGGAGGTAGGTAGTGACCTCAGACCTGGCATAGAAGGAACTTTCCATTCACATTTCATTCACATTTATCTTCTGTGCTCATGAAACATCAGTTCTGACCTAGAATGATAATGCTCACTCTGCCTCCCCTGAGTTGTAGAAAATTCTGTGATTTCACAGTTCTTTCCAGCTCGCCCTCTTTGTCATTTGTCCCCTTCCTTCCCCATTGTTGACAAGCAGGTTCAGTCTGCATGGCACACCACAACAGTGCTCCTTAGGGAGGATGTGAGATTCCATTACTTCATTTGGTCCACATCAGCAGACATGTTGAACACTTTGTTTGATCATGTTTCTATCTGCCCACAGTCCTCATAGCTTTACAGGGTTTTTTCTAACCTGGAATAAAGCGTATCTCACAACTATTTCACTTATGATACTTTTGTTTGTATCTTTAACAGATAGGCCTTATGAAAAACCAAACTACAACTATTCCCAGCAAATAAAGAATAATTACTTGACATCATCTCACGTGGTTCATATTTTAAATTTTTCTCGCTGTTGAAAAATGGGTTTTTATGATTGGTTTATTCAATTGCACTTTTTCTAACTTTGTCTCTTTTTTTAAGTGTTTTAAAAATTATTGAATTTATAATGACTTACTTGCTGTATTTCTTGCTTTACCTTTCCACCTGGAGAAGAAACAATGGCCAACCATATGATATTGTACATCCACTGTGAAAAAAGCAAAACCTTTGTTTTGATAACTTGCTAAGTTTTCCAGATTGGTTCCTTTTCAAAAGTCTTTATATTAAATTTAAGTCTTATCCTGGTATCTAATTGTCAAGAAAATATATTGAAAATGGACACAACCCTTGTGTTGAGGTCTACAGAAATGAGTTTTATCCACAGTGCTACCCTATTGAAGACAAGCTCCCACAAGGAAGAAGCAGGTATGCCCACCAAGACCCAGAGAATCACAGTGCAGAGCTGTGCGCATGCTTCCCTCCAGACAAGTGGTAAGAGCTGCATCTCCAGTCAGCTTGGGTGATTGGAATGTGCTGTGGCTGAGTGCAGATCTGGCAGGCTTAGCTGTGCACCACTTGGTGCTGTGGCTGATGCTGGGCAGCTTGGAAAAGAAGTGGCTGGTGACAAGGAGGGCTTTCCCACTCTCACAGAAATCATGTGAGCAAAATTCTCCCTTTTAAATGATTAATACATTTTACAGCCAATTACAGCTAGCCATTGTCAACGTGTCATCCTTTGTTTTGTGTCTGAGACTGGGATTCAGACTCTTGATTTGACACTCTTGCTCATTGACTGACCTTCTACAACCTGAGCCATGCCTCTATCCCTTCATCCTTTTCCTTTTGAAATAGTTTTTTTGTGTGTGTGTATGTGCTAGTAATGGGGCTTGAACTCAGTGCCTGAGCACTCTTGGCTTTTTTGCTCATGGATGGTATTGTACCACTTGAGCTACACTTCCACTTCCTGCTTTTTTAGTGGTTAAGAGTCTCAGTCTTTCTTGCTCAATCTGGCTTTGAACCATGATCCTCAGATCTCAGCCTTCTGAGTAGCTAAAGATTACAGGCCTGAGCCACCAGCCAGTGTAAACTCTTTTGAAATTACATATTTTTCATTGTACTGTAGATGGGGATTTATTCTATTGTCTAGTCCAATTACTCTAAAATTTACTTTTATAAAACACACCCTGAGTGAGGATTGTCTTATTTTGCAAACTTTACTATAATGCTGTAACATTTCTGTTCATTGTTTTAAACGTTTACTGAATACACAGTGACAAGTGCTTCCAACTTAAATATTTTGTTTAATCTCTAGACAATTTTTTTGGGGTGCTGGTCCTGGGGTTTGAACTCAGAGCCAAGGTGCTTTTGTGTTCAAGGCTAGCATTCTACCACTTGAGCCACAGCTCTATTTTTGGCTTTTGATGGTTAATTGAAAATCACTCATACACTTTCCTTTTTGGAAAGGAACCAAGATCCTTAGATCTCAGCCTCTTGGGTAGCTAGAATTGTAGATGTGAGCCACCTCTGCTTGGCTAGATAATTTTTTTTGGTGGGGGGGAGGGGTCAGTCGTGGGGCTTGAACTCAGCCTGGGAGCTGTCCCTGAGCTCTTCAGCTCAAGGCTAGTGCTCTACTACTTGAGCCACAGTGCCACTTCCGGTTTTCTGGTGGTTTATTGAAGAGTCTCATGGACTTTCCTGCCTGGGCTGGCTTTGAACCACGATCCTCAGATCTCAGCCTCCTTAGTAGCTAGGATTACAGGCGTGAGCCACTGATGCCCAGCCTGGCTAGTCTTTTTTTTTTTTTTTGGTCGGTCGTGGGGCTTGAACTCTGTGCCTGGACCCTGTCCCTCAGCTCTTCAGCTCAAGACTAGCACTCTATCACTTTTTCTGGTGGTTAACTGGACTTTCTGCCCGGGCTGGCTTTGAACCATGATCCTCCGATCTCAGCCTTTTTTTTTTTTTTGTCGGTCGTGGGGCTTGAACTCTGGGCCTGGGTGCAGTCCCTCAGCTCTTCAGCTCAAGGCGAGCGCTCTGCCACTTGAGCTACAGCGCCACTTCCAGCCGGTTTTCTGGTGGTTTATTGAAGAGTCTCATGGACTTTCCTGCCTGGGCTGGCTTTGAACCGCGATCCTCAGATCTCAGCCTCCTGAGTAGCTAGGATTACAGGCGTGAGCCACCAGCGCCCGGCTGATCTCAGCCTTTTGAGTAGCTAGGATTGCAGGCTGCAGGCGTGAGCCACCTGTACCCAGCTTAAATAATCTTTTTAAATGGGCAATTCTAAAACAATTTTTTTGTAGAATAGAAAACCAAGGAGACTCAACCATATGATGCAGAACCTGAATTTAAATACCATTCAAAGCTGTGGACCTCGCAAATCATCTCTATATGGAATCCAGTACTCTATAAGTTTTTCTTCAAAGAATAAAAATTTGTTTTTAGTTAATGTATATAAACATTTTTTTTTATTAAAATACTTAATGATAATGTAAATATCAGTGACTTTTTCTGGCTCACAGCTGATTTGTGGCAAAGTGTTTGAGTTTGATAATATCCTTTAAATATACAAGTATAAAACATTTATTTTACAATGTACTTAAAATTGGCACTTTTTGAGCTAATTAGTAGCAATGAGTAATCTTTTGGCTGGTTTTGATATGTGTGTGTTTTGTTTTGATGCTGGTCAAGGCCTTGAACTCCATGCCTGTCACTCTTGTTTGGCTTTTTTGCCCAATCTTGGCTCTTAATTTTTTTTGTTTCAACAATAATTCTCAGTTGAGCAAGGCCAAAGTGAAGATGTGAACTTGTTTATTAGCAGTAAGAGCTGTAGCTAAGTTAGGAGAGGCCTACTGATTCAAGATAGCTATGTAGTAGTGTGTCAGTGAAGCAATTCTAAGGACATTCTTACCTTATGTTATCTAACATGGGAGTCTTATCTAATTCATGGGAGCTGGGATTTGTCCAAAATAGTGGTACTGCACTTCTAGAAAGTCCCTCCGCACCCTACCCATGACTCAGATATTTCATTCTTCCCCTCTTCATCTAGTGAACTTTCACCAGTGCCCGCATTTTAGTGCTAGTTCTGAGCACTGCAGTGAGCAACAAAGGTGTGATGTGTCCACGTGGAGCTTTCTGTCATGTAGCTGTCCTATCATTCCAGATGTCTGCTGGTGCAGACATGTCTCTGGGTGATAAAAATTGGAGAACAATATGTGCAAAGGTGGAGAATGAAAGGAGGAGGCAGGGAGTTATTCTACACAGAACAAACAGCAAAGACCCCGAGATGGGAAGCTACTGTCAGAACTTGGATAGGAATGGCTAGTTACCTGGACTTAAGGGGAATATGTAGGTCATATTTGTATTTGAAAAAGGACCAGGGACATAGTACAAATGCTAGAGTGCCAGCTGTGAGAAAGCCAGGTGGTGCTGGTGGCTCAGGCTGCAATCCTAGCTACTCAGGAGGCTCAGATATGAAGATTGATGTTCGAAGCCAGACCTGGCAGGAAAGTCTATAAGATTCATCTCCAATTAATCACCCGAAAAGCTGGAAGTAGCATTGTAGCTCAAATGGTAGAGACCTAGCTTTGAGCAAAAAGGATGACACCCAAGCTGAATTCAAGCCCAAGGACCAGCACAAAAGAAAAAGAGAGAAAGGAAGCAAGCCAACGACACAAGTTGCTGAGTTCAAACCCTGGAGCTGACACACACAAAAGAAGAGAAGTTTTCTTAACCTGGAGGTATTAATACTTGTTTTCATACACAAACACACTTCTATCCACAAGGTGGCTAGTTGACTAGTGCTGCATGCAGTAAACTTGGTCACACAGGTACAGGATTAGTTACATTCACAAGCCTTATTTATCAGCCTCTGTGCACTGCCCTAAATTCTTTCAGGGTCTTTTTTAATCCCATTTCTGGGGCTTGTTCTCAAGGTCTGGGAGCTATCACTGAGCTTTTTGCTCAAAGCTAGCATTCTACAACTTGAGCCACACCTCCCCTTCCAGCTTTTTATTTTTATCTTTTTGGTAGTTTTCTATAGAGTCACAGACTTTCCTGCTTGGGCTGGCTTTGAACTGCCATCCCAGATCTCAGCCTTCTGAGTAGCTAGGATTACAGGTGTGAGCCACAGCGCCTGGGAACATGTCACATTTTCACATAATCATCTCTAGGCCAGGCACCTAGCCTGCATCTGACCTGCAAGTCCAAGGGAAGGGAGCCAGCTGACATTTCTTGAGAGGTTGACTCATTAGGAGGTCAACAACCTTCACTCTAGAAAAGTCAGGCTCACTGCTGACCGAGTATTTTAATTGCAGTTAGATTTGATCTCTCAAATTCTAATATAACCTGGTATTCCTTGAAGCAAGCAATATGAAATTCTTTGCAAAGTAGAGGAAGGAAAAGGCTAAATCGCGAATTCTTTTTTTTCCCATTTTGTATGTGTGTGTATGCACGCACATCTGTGTGTGTATACACATGGGCACGTGTGTGTGTGTGTGTGTGTGTGTGTGTGTGTGTGTGTGTGTGTGTGCTAGTCCTGGCGCTTAACTTGGGGCCTGGATACTGTTCCTGTACTTTCTCACTCAAGGCTAGCACTCTACCATTTGAGCCATAGTTCCACTTTTGTGTTGTAGTTGGTTGTGGGGCTTGAACTCTGGGCCTGGGTGTTGTCCCTAAACTCTTCAGCTCAAGGCTAGTGTTCTACCACTTGAGCCACAGCGCTACTTCCGTTTTCTGGTGGCTAATTGGAGTCTTGCAGAGTTGCCTGGCCAGGCTGGCTTTGAACTGCGATCCTCAGATCTCAGCCTCCTGGTGGCTACCACTTGAGCCACCAGCGCCCAGCACAGTTCCACTTTTTGATGGAAAATGATCTATTCAGCCTGTGAATTGCAAGTGTCAGTGTCCTCCAGAACATCCTTACGGCTACACTGAGAAATAATGTTTATCAAGTTAGCTGGGCACCCAGTAGTCCAGTCAAGTTTGCATGTAAAATCAACCAT